TGGTTTTCCGGTGGCTAATTGGAGGTAACAGTCTCGTGGACTTTTCTATCTGGCCTGGGGTTTAGTACAGCGATCCTCAGATCTCAGCCTCCTCAATAGCTTGGATTACAGGGGTGAGCCAAGAGAATCTGGCTTCTCTTTGGGTAAGAGACCTATAATAACTCTCCCTAATATTTGGAAAGGTGAAAATAGGGGGTTCAGAGAGGTTAAACAATGTACTGAAAGCAACTCAGCAAATCAGAGGTAAAGAAAGTCAGCACTCCAAACTGAAAGGTGGGGAGGTGTTCGCAGGCCCTGGGACTTTGGACAGCAAGAACGCAGCTTTGAACTGGAAGAGATCCACGGTCTTGAGTAATTTCGCCCTGGACTTACGCAAGTGATGAAGCTAGTGACGAAAATCCCTTTGATGTGCCCTGGGCTTGGACACCATGACAACCGCAACCACTCGGGCTCCCCGCCACTCCTCTCCTTCTGTGGCCAACCCCCAATCTAGGACCTCCTACCCCCTTAAACCTCAGGCAACCAAGCAGAGGGGCACCTTGAGATTGGCTGGAGGGAGTTTTGCTTTTTTTTTTTTTTTTTTTTTGGTCCGGTTGTGGGGCCTGAACTCTGGGCCTGGGTGCTGTCCCTCAGCTCTTCAGCTCAAGGCTAGTGCCCTACCACCTGAGCCACAGTGCCACTTCCGGCTTTTTTCTTTTTCTTATGTGGTGCTGAGGAATCGAACCCAGGGCCTCAGGCATACCAGGCAAGCACTCTACCACTGAGCCACCTTCCCAGCCCCCTGGAGGGAGTTTTTATGCCACAGAATTGAGCAAATGTTACAAACCAAGTTTCGACTGCTGTTTCGCTGATTATCTAAGACAGAAATAGGCAAATTATGGCCCTTGGAACAAATCCGGACCACTGTCTTTTTTTATTATTATTATTATAGGCAGGTGTGGTAGTGTATGACTAAAATCTCAGTGCTCCGGAGGCTGAATCAAGAAGATTATGAGCTCCAGGTCTGCCTGGCCTACATAGTGAGATCTTGTTTTGAGAGAGTGGAAAAAAAAAACAGAAAACAAAAAAAAACAAAACAAAACAAGTACTAATAAAAGCTGCCAAAGTCTCTTCATTTTATTATTTAGTGCCAGCAAACCCAAACAGTAACAACAATAAACTATTCCTCCCTGCCAGATCAGACCATTTCCCTCACACCAACTAATGTAGTAAGTGCTCATTCAATAGTGGGGTTCTTATTCCCCTTGTATTTGCCAGGACTCGTGGTTGCAAAATCCAGAAAACCACTTCAAAGTAATTTACACAGGAGGGAAAATGCCTAGCTCATCCAGAAGCACATCTAGAATAAACCACTAAGAGGACTCTGCAGCACGCTTTCCTCTGGCGAGCCCAGACGTGGCTCCTACAACATGGAGCAACCAGCTCAGCAGACTAGAGGCAGAACTTTTCTCAAGACCAAGTTACAAGCCAAGCTCCCATTGGCCAGCTGTGGTCACATGGCCGTCCTTGACCCAATCACAATGATTCTTGTTGGCCGGTTCTAACTCACAGGCCCCACCCTGACCGCATGGGCAGAGAGAGAAAAAGGTGGATTCCCCAAAGGAAAAGTGGGATACTGTTAGAAGATGAATGAATAGAGAACAAGATGGTTTTAGCCAGGAGACCTCTGCTGTCCCAGTGGCAAGAAGAGGACAACCTTCAGGTCATGGCAGATCCAGGGCTCTCTGCTCACCCACTCTGGGACAGAGACTTAACAAGCAGCAGAGAGTGGAGCAACTGTGCCCTGTCATTAGCTCCTGGGGCCCCACAGACTGCCTGTAACCCAGAGCTCACGCCTGCAGTTCTGTGCCTCAAAAGATAAAGAGGGGCTCCGCCCAAATGGCCCTGCCCTGGGGCTTCACTAGCCTGACCCCATCCTGGCCAACTCTCGCCCCTCTCCTCAGCTTTTTATAATATGAACATGTTCCCTGGGCAAGGTGCCGGTGGCTCACGGCTGTGATCCTAGCTATTCAGGAGGCTGAGATCTGAGGATCGAGGTTCAAAGTCAGCTGGGACAGGAAAGTACTTGAAACTCTTATCTCCAGTTTAACCACCAAAAAAGTCAGAAGTGGAGGTGTGGCTCAAATGATAGAATGCCAGTCTTTTTTTTTTTTTTTTTTGGGTCCGGTCTTGGGGCCTGAACTCTGGGCCTGGTCGCTGTCCCTCAGCTCTTCAACTCAAGGCTAGCGCTCTACCACTTGAGCCTCAGCGCCACTTCCAGCTCTTTTCTTTTTGCTTATGTGGTGCTGAGGAATCAAACCCAGGGCCTCAGGCATGCAAGGTAAGCGCTCTACCACTGAGCCACCTTCCCAGCCCAGAATGCCAGTCTTGACTGAAAAAGCCAAGGGAAAGCACCCAGTACTAGCACTCAAATTTTAATCATTATTTTTTTAAATCCTAGAACTGTACGCTGAAAAAAAAAAGAAGAATCAATTACAACCTATGTAAATTGTGTATCAGTCCATAAGAACCCCTCCGAAGCTGTGCTTACAAAATGTAAGACATGTACATTATTCTGAAAACCATGTAAGTATAACTCAGCACAGGGCCCGAAGGGTGATCAGATATGCAGGAAGGAAATGCTCTGTGAAGTTGCTGCGAAGCAGGATAATGCAGAAGAGTGCAAATACTTCGATGAAAGGGCTCCTTTTGGCCAGGGAAGATGGCTCAGTGGTAGAGTGCTTGCCTTGCATGCCTGAGGCTCTGGGTTTGATTCCTCAGCACCCATAAGCAAAAAGAAGCTGGAGTGTCACTGTGGCTCAAGTGGTAGAGCGCTAGCCTTGAGCTGAAGAGCTGAGGGGCAGCGCCCAGGCTCAGAGTTCAGGCCCCACGAATGGACCAAAAAAAATTGAAAATAAATACATAAATAATAAATAAAAAAGAAAGGGCTCCTTTTATGTCGACTCTGCCAAGGGCTTGGCAATCCTTGGCATTTTTTTTCAGTCCTGGGGCTTGAACTCTGGGCCTGGGCGCTGTCCCTCAGCTCTTCAGCTCAAGGCTAGTGCTCTACCATTTGAGCTACAGTGCCACTTCCAGTTTTCTAGTGGTTTAATGGAGATAAGAGTCTCACGGACATTCTTGCCTAGGTTGGCTTTGAACTACAATCCTCAGATCTCAGCCTCCTGAGTAGCTAGGATTACAGGCATGAGCCACCAGCACCCGACAACTTGGCATGTTTTGCACTTTTACTCAAATCAACTGCAACAGAAGCAAACCAAACAAATAAAGGCACCTATAAACAGCATTTTCCTTTCCTTTCCTTTTTTTAAAAAAAAAAAAAAAAAAAACACAAATTGTTGGGGAAGCCACCTGTACGTAGCACAGAGCAGCAGCGGCTGCATTGAATTTCAGCTAGGCAGTAGAATGGGACAAGTGTGCTCCAGAGACTGGGCCAGGTAGGTCCTGTCTGGAGATGGAAGTGGTACCTTGAGTGAATCCAGAATGTGATGGAGACCCACACTATTTCTAGAAGCCAAGTGTAGAGGGGAGGGAGGAAGGGCAGGGTTCCCAATCAGGGCCAGCTGAGCCAGGCACCCACCAGACACTAGCCATCCAGCTGGTGGATATTAAATCCACCTGACTGTGGATTTAATTAACAATGGCCAGGAGAGAAACCAGACCAGGTGCCGCAAGAGAGACTGGGTACACTGTCATAAGCTAGGGGTCGGTCTACAGTGCTGCTCTCATGCTGTGTGACCTAGGTCCCTGCCTCCAGTCTGGTCCTCTCAGATGGGAATAAACTTAGAGAGAGAGAGGAAGGAAAACAAAGCCCTAGCCAAGTGCTGGTGACTCTCGCCTGTAATCCTCACTACATAGGAGGTTGAGATCTGAGGATTGTGGTTCAAGGTCAGCCCAGGCAGGAAAGTCCATGAGACTTTTACCTCCTATTAAGCATCTAAAAACCAGAAATGGAGCTGTGGCTTGAAGTGGTAGAGCACTAGCCTTGAGCACAAAAGCTCAGGGACAGCACCTAGGCCCTGAGTTCAAACCCAGGACCAACACACACACACACACACACACACACACACCTGACTCACACTCCTTTTCTTCTCTGCCACTTGGCCTGCTACATGGCCGAGGCAATTCTCTGTCATGTGCTGCCATTCCTGGTCCCCAATGGAATGAGTTTCTGGGGAGGGGTGTGGATGCAAAGCAGTCTTGCTCTCCCAGAGCCCTTAGGAAAAAGCCAGAAGTCAGGAAAGCAAGACAAGAGGACTTGCGTGGGATTGGAGAAGCCAGGCCTTCCTCCCCACCTGCCCCGCAGAGCCAACAGCTCCATCTCCCTGATGCTCCAGAATACTCTTAGGAGCTGAGACCTGTGCTGGAGATGAGGTCATAACTTCTTTTCTGATACTTGAGCATGAGCAATGCCAGGCTGCTGGCTGCATCAGCCATGCTCAGTACCCCAAAGGCATCACGAATCATCCAGCAGCAGCGGAAGCTGTTCTGTGTGCCAGCCCATCCCAAGATCATGCACATTGGCTCATATTATGCTTGCTCCCAATTTACAGATGGGGAAACTGAGGCTCAGAGGCATCTGGTGATTCTGTATACTGCAGGGCCAGGATGCAAACTCCTATGTCCAAAACTGTACCCACCACAGAACACAACTCTTATATCTCACGCCTCCTCTATACTTGCTCTGCCAACAGGCCTTCAAGACCAGCCTCCACTGGCCCATGGAGTCCCCTTGGTAAGAATGAAAAAGTTGCCACTCAGCTCAAACTGGCCTTGGCTTCTGAGCTTTGGATCTGGATGGCAGAGATCACAGCCCCCGTCCAGGATCCTGCAGGGCACATGCCCTTTGACTTCGTGTGCCAGCTCTGTCCACACTGGCAGTGGGCTGGCCTCCCCTCCCAGCAAGATCTGGCAACCTTGCCCAGGGTTCATCTCTCCACCCCCACGGAGGCAGGGCAGGGGCAGGCCCAGCCCTACCCATGGTAAATACTTCTGTCCAGCACTCACCCGGCCTCTTGTCCCAAGCTTTCTGGAAGGGAGTTTGACCAAGATCGACCATGGTAAGAGCCTCTCTCCCCCACCCGCTGTCTCTCAGAATAGCAGGAGGATGGGAGCAAGATGTCAAGGGTTTTTGTAATCTGGGGGGGGCGGGGTGAGGCTTGTCTTCAGAGTCTCTGGGTACTGGGGTTTCTCAGTGTGGAAGGATGAGTTGCTAGGCTGTAAGTTCGGAGAGAAGCGACTCTTCTGGTCTCCGGGCTCACGTCGAGGCAGCTACCAGGGAGCCCTAGTGAGGTTCACGTCGTGGTTCAGGTTCTTCAGGTTCTCCAGTCTCTGTCACGGCTCGTGGATGGCTGTGTTCCCTCCGCTTCCCAGCTTCCACGCAAAATGACAGATCCTTGAAATCCACACGGGAAAATCATTGTGGGAGGGAAGGAGTGTCTCTCACAAAGGGGAGTGTCACAGGTGGGGGTCTCAGCAGTTATTTTAGCATAAGAGGATCTAACGTAGGGGGAAATGGGGCTGGGAAGGTGGCTCAGTGGTAGAGCGCTTGCCTTGCATGCCTGAGGCCCTGGGTTCGATTCCTCAGCACCACATAAGCAAAAAGAAAAAAGCCGGAAGTGGGGCTGTGGCTCAAGTGGTAGAGCGCTAGCCTTGAGCTGAAGAGCTGAGGGACAGCACCCAGGCCCAGAGTTCAGGCCCCAAGACCGGACCCAAAAAAAGCAAACAAAAACAAAGTAGGGGGAAATGGGAGGAGGGGCACAGCAAATGGAAGAACAGACTCTCACTGCCCTCTCCTCCTCTCTCCTTAGACAACTTACAGCGACAAAGGCCCAAAGGTAAGCAGGAGGGAAATAAGGAGGCCTGAGTCTGGAAGGGGGTCAAGGCGCAGGGAAATGGGGTGTCAGCACAGAGCAGTAGTGACCAGATGTGACCAGATGTGCAGGGCCGTGCCTGAACACTGAGGCTCACTCCCTGGGCTTCTCCACAAGGAGCGAGACTCAGCTTCACCCGCCTGCCTCTGACCTCTTCTTCAACACCTGCCCAGCTCTTTTAAGTCTGGCCGGCAGCTCTCCATCTACAGAATCCCGGGCTATGCCAGCCTTAAAGATATTTCCTTCTGTGAAATCTGGGCAGGTTCCCTGGGGACTTCCTGAACTCACACCATCAATTTCTTTCTTTCTTAGTTTTTAATTTCTAAATTTTAATTGTTATGATAAAGGTGATGTACAGAGGGGTTACAGTTACGTAAGTCAGGTAATGCGTACATTTCTTTTTGGACAATGTCTCCCCTTCCCTTGTTCAATTTTCTTTTTCATTAGTTTGCATATTCATTTCTATGATAGTACAATTTTAGGGCTGAATTTCAAGTCTAAAAACTGAGTTTGGTAGAACTTTGATTCTGGTGTTTTTTTTTTTTTAAATATCAAAGTAAGCCAGGCACAGGTAGCTCACGCCTGTAATCCTAACTACTCAGGAGGCTGAGATCTGCAGATAGCAGTTCGAAGCCAGCTGGGGCAACAAAGTTGGTGAGATTTTTCTCTCCAGTGAGCTAATAAAAAGCCAGAAGTGAAGCTGTGACTCAACTGGTAGAGTGCTAGCTGTGAGCACAAAAGCTCAGGGACGGCGCCCAGGCTCTGAGTTCACACTCCAGGACTGCACCAAAAATAAAGAAATAAAACAAATCAAGATATGGAGACCCACACTGAAAGGGCATTGTAACCCAGTCCAATTGCAACTGAATTCAGTGAACTTGCATCTTGATGTGTCCAAAGCCAAAGAAACAAGTGAGGGGAGAAAGATGTATTGCCTGCAGCAGGTATGGAGGTCACGGGAGTGATTTCCATGAAGGGCTCATTATCTGGAGCACGGGAAACGCTTTGTGTGCAGTCACTAAGAGGTCCTGGGGTGGCTGGATTCCGGGCCAAGTGGTCAAGGGGGACCCCGCCCCACTCCCACTTTCCAGATCCCCTTCCATGGCCTCAACTTTGCCCCTTCTTCCCCCTGCAGCCCGAGAGAGGCCGATTCCTCCACTTCCATTCCGTGACGTTCTGGGTTGGCAATGCCAAACAGGTAGAAGAGGGGGAGGGCTGGGTGGGCAGGAGCCGGGGCAGATGGCCTCCTGGAGGAAGCCAGGCCCTGGCCGGGGCAGGGATTGGCTCCTGGGAGGGGAGGGTCAGGGTGCACTCTGGCCCGGGCATTTTGGGTTCTGGTTACACAATCAGGACCACAGACCCCTGGTGGGAAGTCTCTGTGAAGGTAGAAGGTGCCAGAAAGCCTCCCCTTTGTTTTTTTCCCCCAAGAGAGGGTTCTGTTTTGGGGGCTCCCTTTGGAGACACTCCCCACCCAGAATGGGCCCTCTCTGAACCCTGCGGCCATCCTGTCATCCAGGCTGCCTCCTTCTACTGCAACAAGATGGGCTTTGAACCGCTGGCCTACAAGGGCCTGGAAACAGGGTCCCGGGAGGTGGTCAGCCATGTGATCAAGCAAGGAAAGGTGAGCCCCACACCCCAGGAGCCCCTTGGGTCTCAGTGATTGATCGCTGAGGCCTTTGACCTCCTGACCTTTCCACGTATCCCGCTCTGGTTTGGGGACGCTGCCTGGCTGGTTCCAGGGCAAACCAGGGGCGTGGTGCCACCATGCAACAGGACCTTCCTGGCTCCGTCTCCTTCAGCCTGGCCCAAAGCAGGCCGGCACAGGAGTTCAAATGAGCCTGGACATGGGAGTAGGGAGCTTCACCAGTGTCCTGGGCCACCTCCAGGGACTCCGCAGCTAACCCGGGCTTTCTCCTGCACGGGAGACTGGGGGGAAGCCAAGGCAGAGAAGGAGCTAGACTGCTCTGAGTCCTGCATGGCAGAGGCCTTTTGTTCTACCAGGGATGGGGGAAAGGGGTCCCCCCCACTCTGTGTACCCCTGAGTCCGGCCACACTCCCTGTCCTCTATGTTTTAGATTGTCTTTGTCTTCTCCTCGGCACTCAACCCCTGGAACAAAGGTGAGGGGGTCAAGGGAGGGGGTGGCAATAAGGCTTTACCAGTGGGGTCAGGGGTCAGGGGTCAGGACTGGGAGGGTGCATGGGGCCGGGGGCTGAGCAGAAGGAACTGAGGGCAGCCTCTCCCTCCTGGCCGCAGAGATGGGCGAGCACCTGGTGAAACACGGTGACAGTGTGAAGGACATCGCCTTCGAGGTGGAGGACTGCGAGCACATCGTGCAGGTGAGGAGGTGTGCGGACACGGGAGCAGGGTCGCAGAGCACGGGGAGGCCCCGCCCCGCAGGCCCCGCCCCGCCCCGCAGGCCCCGCCCCGCCCCGCAGGCCCCGCCCCGCCCCGCAGGCCCCGCCCCGCCCCTCACCAGGAGGCCTCGCTGGGAGACTCAGTTCACACCTCCGTAAACTAGGGATCCTCTAGTGCCTACCTCACTGAGCCGTGTAAAGGAAATGAGTTGCAATTAAAGTATTTGGACTCTAATGCGGCCAAAGAGACTCTGGCAGTTTGGAGGCAGGCGTGGCTCAATGATAGAGCACCTTTCAGGCAAGAGGAAGGCCCGGAGTTAGATTCCCAGCACTGAAAAGGAAAAAGAAAAATAAAGAGACAGAGACGTGTGGCTGGGAAGGTGGCTCAGTGGTAGAGTGTTTGCCTCGCATGCGTGAGGCCCTGGGTTCGATTCCTCAGTACCACAAAGGCAGAAAAAGCTAGAAGTGGCATTCGGCTCAGGTGGTAGATTGCTAGCCTTGAGCTGAAGAGCTCAGGGACGTGCCCAGGCCGAGAGTTCAAGACCCACGACTGACAAGAAATAAATAAAGAGAGGTGGTTTAGATTAGAGCTAGACAGGTCAAAGTAAATCTTAGGATCTGTACCACTGAACCCATGCCTTAACTTCTCTGTGCTTTAGTTTTCGTCTAGAGAATGGCAATGATAACTCATTTCTGTGTAAAAAATGGTGCTATGAAAATTAAAGACATGGGGCTGGGGATGTGGCTCAGTGGTAGAGTGCTTGCCTAGCATGCACGAAGCCCTGAGGAGTACCTCATAAGCAGAAAACGCAGGAAGTGGCGCTGTGACTCAAGTGGTAGAGCGCTTGCCTTGAGCACAGAGGAGCTCAGGGACAGTGTCCAGGCCCTGAGTTCAAGCCCCAGGACTGGCAAAAAGAAAAGAAAAGAAAATTAAAGAGGTGAACCCTTAGAACGGGGGCTGCCATGTGAAGACGTGTGTGAACCCACTCCGACACATAGAACAGGGCCTGACACGCAGTGCGCACTCAATCAGTGTCAGCCGCCTTTCCACACAGAGTGGGGCCATAACATGAGTCCCCTCACACCTACCCCACCTGGTTTGTCTTCCAGCACCCTAACTCTAAGCCTGAGCCTAATGGGCATGGGACGCAGGGACAGGGAGCCGCTGGAGCTGGGAGGGGCTCCCGCTCTCCCCGGCAGCAAAGGTAGCAGGCAAGGGCTTTGGGGGGCCCCATCCTCACTGCTGTCTCTCCCCCCCTCTCCCCTCCAGAAAGCTAGAGAACGAGGGGCCAAAATCGTGCGGGAGCCCTGGGTGGAGCAGGACAAGTTTGGGAAGGTGAAGTTTGCTGTGCTGCAGACGGTGAGTTAACTTTGGGGATCCCGCCGCTCCTCCTGCCAGAACCCCTCACCTCACAGACTTCCTTCCTCAAGGGTGACCTCCTACTATTCCCACGGGAGGGGCTGCGGGTCCCAGGCTTCCCTTCCTCCCCAGTGCAAGGCTTGGGATGGGCTGTGACAAACGCAGAAGGGTGGGGCAGAGGAAGCCACACCCAACACGTGACCTGGGCGAACCGCTGTCGCGCTCCGGGCTCTGAAGAAATGAGCAAAGACTGGAGTGACACTCACTCCAACGCCCCTCTGTGCCTTAGTTTCTCCAGCCATCACCCCTCCTCAGGCTGTTATGAGAGTGAGTCCACAACTCTGGCTTACTCCGATTTGTACTCAGCAAAGATGGCGGGGTCAGTGCAGCGTCGCTGTTATTGTGAGACCAGGACAACCTTCAGCCTCACCTCCAGCACTGAATAAAATATAGTGATGGATCACAGAGCCCTCTAGTGAAATCTGGTCCAGCCGGGCACCAATGGCTCATGCCTGTAATCTTAGCTACTCAAGAGGCTGAGATCTGAGGTTCAAAGCCAGCCCAGGTAGGAAAGTCCATAAAACAAGACTCTTATCTCCAGTGGACCACCAGAAAACCGGAAGTGGCCCTGTGGCTCAAATGGTACAGCGTTAGCCTTGAGTGAAAAAGCTCAGGGACAGCACCTAAGTCCTGAGTTCAAGACCCAGGACTGACAAAAAACAAAACAAAACAAAACACCAAAAAAAACATTTGGTCCAAGGCTGTCACCTGTTCTTCATATGGTCAACCCAAGCTTTTTGCTATTGATATTGTTTTGGTTTTTGAAACAAGCTCTCTATAACCCAGGCTGGCCTCAAACTTGTGATTTTTCTGCCCTAAGCTGCTTTTTTTTTCTTTTTTTGGTTGGTCATGGGGCTTGAACTCTGGGCCTGGGCGCTGTCCCTCAGCTCTTCAGCTCAAGGCAAGCGCTCTACCACTTGAGCCACAGTGCCACTTCCAGTTTTCTGGTGGTTTATTGGAGATGAGAGTTTCATGTGCTTTCTTGCCTGGGCTGGCTTTGAACCGTGATCCTCGATCTCAGCCTCCTGAGTAGCTAGGATTACAGGCATGAGCCACCAGTGCCTTGCTGCCTTAAGTTTTTGAGTTTGGGGATTACAGGAATGCACCCCTACAGCTAGCTGGCAACACAATTTTTTTGAACAATTACTATGGGACTGGGAAACCAAGTGCTAGGAATACCTGGATGAGCAAAACAGCATCTCTGGGAATGGGGGCATGGCTCAAGAGGTATAGAGCACTCACCTAGCAAGAGGCAGGACCCAAATTCAATCTCAAGTATGGTAAAACAAACAAAAACAAAACAAAAACCCAGAGCTTCTGGTCCTATAGGCAAACAGACTGTCCAACTCCCAAACAAGGGGCTGGGAAGGTAGCTCAGTGGTAGAGTGCTTGTATTGCATGCACAAGGCTCTCAGTTCAATTCCTCAGTACCACACAAGCAGAAAAAGCTGGAAGTGGCGCTGTGGCTCAAGTGGTAGAGCGCTAGCCTTGAGCTGAAGAGCTGAGGGACAGCGCCCAGGCCCAGAGTTCAGGCCCCATGACCAACAGGAAAACAAAACAAAACAAACACACAAAAAAAATATCCTCCCAAACAATGAAGTGGCAAAGCTTCCAGAAAGGGGAGGGGCTTGCTCGCCATCGCACGCGCACGCACGCGCACACACACACACACACACACACACACACACACACGTGCTAGGGCCAGGCCAGTGCTGGAACCCGGGGCTGAGCTAGCACTGGGAGAAGGAAGACCCCAGTGGCTGGTGGGGTAGACGCTCAGAGTTGAGCCTGGCTGCTTCTCCCTCAGTACGGGGACACCACTCACACTCTGGTGGAGAAGATAAACTACACCGGTCGATTCTTGCCTGGATTCGAGGCCCCGATATCCAAGGATCTCTTGCTTCCCAAGCTGTGAGTACCGTTAGCACAGGGGAGGGTGGGGAAGCACGGCTGCTCCTGGGGGGGAGGACACCTGGAGACTGTGGGGTATTCCCAGAGGATCCTTCAAGAGGTGGCAAACAGGTTGGGCCCCGGATCCAGTCTGAACTAAGTGACCCCATTGGTCACTTAAACATTAGACAGATCACTTGGATTTTCTTTTCTTTTCTTTCTTTCTTTCTTTTTTTTTTTTGGTCGGTCGTGAGGCCTGAACTCTGGGTCTGGGCGCTGTCCCTCAGCTCTTCAGCTCAAGGCTAGCGCTCTACCACTTGAGCCACAGCGCTACTTCCGGTTTTTCTGCTTATGTGGTGCTGAGGAATTGAACCCAGCTCCTCATACATGCCAGGCAAGCACTCTACCACTGAGCCACCTTCCCAGCCCCACCACTTGGTTTTTCTATGCCTGTTTCTTCATCTCAAAAACAGGTATGGAAGGTGGGCACTGGTGACTTACACCTGTCATCCTAGCTACCCAGGAGGCTGAGATCTGAGGATCGCAGTTCAAAGCCAGCACAGGCAGGAAAGTCTGTGACACTCTTATCTCCAATGAACCATCAGAAAGTCCGAAGTGGCTCTGTGACTCAAGTGGTAGAGCGCTTGCCTTGAGCTGAAGAGCTCAGAGTTCAAGCCCCATGACTGACCAAAAAAAAAAAGGAAATGCAGGACCTGAGTGGGCTGCACCACACTGCGCCGCCCTCCTGACTGCGGTGGTAGAAGGGAGGGGCGGGGGCTGCCTCCTCCTCACCCCTTCCCTTTCCCAGGCCCAAATGCAACCTGGAGGTCATAGATCACATAGTAGGAAACCAGCCTGACCAGGAGATGGTGTCTGCCTCTGAATGGTGAGTGCCTTCACTCCCCGCCCCCCTTTCCCTGCGGGACGGCCCTGCCCCTCAGGAAAACAAAGCCAGTCATTCACTGTAAGACTGTCACCACAAAGTGGGTTGTTCAGTAACCCACTGGTCTCCCCTCTGAGGAAAGGGGGGGGATGTCACAATGCGGGGGAGCCGTAGAAGAACTGTCTCTGTCAGACCACTGTCCTCTGGGCAAGAGCACAGACAAAGAACAGGAGAGAAGCCACTGAGAGTAGGGACCAACTTGCTTTTATAGAAAACTCAGTCTCACAAGAATGAACACACTGTGGTGAGAACTCGCTTCTGCGAGAACTAGTCCACTAAGCCACAGACTGATGACTCACACTTCTCATCCCAGAGCTCAGAAAGAGATGGCAAGTTTGGGGCCAGTCTGAACAATATGCAGCAAGACCTGTTTGGAAAGAAAAAAAGAAAAGAAAGGAAGGAAGGAAGGAAGGAAGGAAGGAAGGAGGGAAGGAAGGAAGGAAGGAGGGAAGGAGGGAGGGAGGGAGGGAAGGAAGGAGGGAAGGAAGGAAGGAAGGAAGGAAGGAAGGAAGGAAAAAAGCAAGCATTCTAGGCACCAGAAAAAAGAAATAAAAGCAATCCAGCCACCAGTGGCTCACGCCTGTAATCCTAGCTACTCAGAAGACTGAGATCTGAGGACTGCAGTTCAAAGCCAACCAGGCAGAAAAGTCCCTGCTAGACTTTTATCTCCGATGAACTACTCAAAAACCAGAAGTGGTGCTGTGCTCAAGTGGTAGAGTGCTAGCCTTGAGCACAAAGAGGTTCAGGGACAGCGCCCAGGCCCTGAGTTCAAACCCTACACACACACACACACACACAGACACACACACAGACACACGTAGAAGAAGCAATCCTCCCTTCCTTGACGTGCTATTGGGGAGCACTGCCCACGTGCATGTGTTCTGCTCCTGCCAAACGTGTAATGTGGTGGCGTGACGGAGCCTAGGCAGGGACGGGCCATGGAGGGCGGCCATGGCGGAGGGTCAGGTGGTCCCAAGAGGAGCCTCAGAGCACATGCGTCCTGCCACTGCCCTGTAGGTACCTGAAGAACCTGCAGTTCCACCGCTTCTGGTCAGTGGACGACACCCAGGTGCACACGGAGTACAGCTCTCTGCGCTCCATTGTGGTGGCCAACTACGAGGAATCCATCAAGATGCCCATCAACGAGCCAGCGCCTGGCAAGAAGAAGTCCCAGATCCAGGTAGGGCCTTTGCTGGCTGGGGAAGAAGAGGTTAAGGGCAGTTAAGGGCAGGGTGTGGGTGACACTGCTGTCCTTGTGTCCCTCCCTCAGGAATATGTGGATTACAACGGGGGTGCCGGGGTCCAGCACATCGCTCTCAAGACTCAAGACATCATCTCCGCGGTTAGAACCCCATCCCTGGTCCTAAGGCTTCTCTCCTGTAGCTCCAAGAACAGCCTCTGCACATGGAGGAGGCACGCTGTAGCCCTGGACCCCTTCTCTGGCTCAGAGGGCTGACAGGACCCCCTCCCACACACACCCTGGACCCTGAAACTCCCATGCAGGCAATCCCTTCCCACCCTACCGAAAGAGCTCGGATGCTGAGGAGCAACTCAGCCAGAGCATCAAGGAATCCTTGACTGTGCTCCAGTTCTCTGCAGTGCCTTGCGGTGTGTGTCTGCCTCTCTCAGCCTCCACAGCCTCACCTTGAAATGAGGCTATTAGGCTACAAGACCAGTTACGGCCTTTTAGCCAAATTCCATGTCACATGCCCTGGGGAAGGAGCGCGAGTGTGGACCGTCCCATTCAATGTCCGTGCGGATGCCATGAGCTGGTCTTGCACGGGATGTTTTCTGAGCACCCTCTATACGCCAGGCGTTCGTTGTAGGTTTGTGGGATGCGTTTACAAGTAGAACCTTAAACTTGACTCCATGCTGAGGCACCACCTAGGGGCAAGCAGAGGAGTGACAGGATTTGGTTTGTAATGGAAAAAAGTCAGTCTGGCTACTGTGATAATCTTTCAGTGCCTCTGTTTCCCCAGCTATGAAACAGACATAATGGAGCAATACATCCAAAGACAGGCTCATCATAAGGTGACCAATCACACGGGAGTGTACAGGAGAGCCTCCGACAGTCAGGGGTGCCGACCGGGACCCGCATCTGCTGGCCCAGCATGGGCATGGCCGGGTGAGCTAGGGTAAAGAGACTGACCTTTGACCTCCACCTGCTCTGGGACAGATCCAGCACTTGAGAGACAGAGGATTGGAGTTCTTGGAGGTGCCATCAACATACTACAAGCAGCTTCGGGAGAATCTCAAGTCAGCCAAGATCCGGGTGCAGGAAAGCATCGACACGCTGGAGGTGGGGCCCACGCCCGGCTGACACGGACGAGGCAGAAAGCCATCCGACCTGGTGTCTGTGGGAAGGAGCAGGGGGCGGCCTGGGCGGTGGCGTGGGCAGGGACCAGAGCACCTGGTGGGACCAGGAGATCATAGGTAGAACTTGGAGCTTGAACTCGGGGCCTCCCGATGCTCAGGAAGAAAGTGCTCCCCTTCTCTACTCACACGGCCAACCTTGGGGACAGACAGGCTTGGACCTGCTAGAGGAAGGGGGCTTCGCTTGGCATTGTGGGTACATGGCCCTGTGAACTGTCTAAGGATCACAAGCACCAGCTAACATAGTGGGCCAGCCTCCCTCCCCCAGCCTCCTTCCCTCAGAGCCCCAGCCTCCCTGCCCCAGAGCTTCCTTCCTACCTTCCCCAGCGCCCCAGCCTCCCTCCCCCAGAACCCCAGCCTCCCTCCCCCAGCGCCCCAGCCTCCCTGCCCCAGAGCCCCAGCCTCCCTCCCCCAGTGCCCCAGCCTCCCTCCCCCAGTGCCCCAGCCTCCCTCCCCCAGAGCCCCAGCCTCCCTCCCCCAGAGCCCCAGCCTCCCTCCCCCAGCGCCCCAGCCTCCCTGCCCCAGAGCCCCAGCCTCCCTCCCCCAGTGCCCCAGCCTCCCTCCCCCAGTGCCCCAGCCTCCCTCCCCCAGTGCCCCAGCCTCCCTCCCCCAGTGCCCCAGCCTCCCTCCCCCAGTGCCCCAGCCTCCCTGCCCCCAGAGCCCCAGCCTCCCTGCCCCAGCCTCCCTCCCCCAGAGCCCCAGCCTCCCTGCCCCATCCTCCTTGCCCCAGCCTCCCTGCCCCAGCGCCCCTGCCTCCTCCTCAGAAGCTGAAAATCCTGGTGGACTACGACGAGAACGGCTACCTCCTGCAGATTTTCACCAAACCCATGCAGGACCGGCCCACGCTCTTCCTGGAAGTCATCCAGCGCCACAACCACCAGGTGCGGGCCGGAGGGCGCCCGCGGGCAGCACGGGCGGGTTTGCTCTCTGGGTGCCCAGCTCACTCGCCGTCTCTGGATCTAGGGCTTTGGGGCCGGCAACTTCAACTCGCTGTTCAAGGCCTTCGAGGCGGAGCAGGACCTTCGCGGCAACCTCACCGACCTGGAAACCAACGGGGTGGGCTCCATCATGTAGGCCCCGCCCCGCCGGCCACGCCCACGCACAGTTTAGATCCCTCCCCATAGGTCGGCTCGGGGAGCCGAGGCTCCGCCCGCCTCGTGGCCACGCCCACACTCCCTGTTCGCCTCGGGCCTCCTGAGTAAAGGGCCGCAGAATCCAGGCTGTGTGTGGTTGTTGGGTGTTTGTTCCCAGCGAGGAGCAGTGGCGCGCGTCCGCCGCCAGGGGGCGCCCGGGGCCGCGGCGCCGCAGCAGCGCCGCAGGACTCGTGCACGCACTTTGCCCGGGGGACCGACTGCGCGGATAATCCGGTTCTGGACGGCCGGATGGAGACCGCACTCGAGAGGCAAAGACAATTCGCCTCGGGGAGTGGAGACAGTGGCGATGGCGGTCTGGGGGCCTGGCTCTGATTGAAGGAAGGTGAAACGGCCAGCCGTAGGGCAGCCCGAGTGATGATACAGAGGAGCCCCGGCCACCTGAACGTGCGAGGGGGAGACGGGGAGCAGGAGGCCGGGACCCGAGCCCCTCCCTCGGGGTCGGCCCCGCCCCTGCCCCGCCCTCTCCTCCTGGTGAGGACTTGTTCATACTCAAGTGGGAAGGACCCTTGTTCAAGAATGAGACAACCGGGCTGGGAAGTGGCTCAGTGGTAGAGCGCCTGCCTTCCTTGCAGGAGGCCCTGGGTTCAATTCCTCAGCACCACATAAGCAGAAAAAGCCGGAAGTGGTGCTGTGGCTCAAGAGGTAGAGCTCAAGCCTTGAGCTGAAGAGCTGAGGGCTGAGGGACAGCACCCAGGCCAAGGGTTCAGGCCCCATGACCGACAAAACAAAACTGTATCCCTGGCCCTTAGAGACAGCCCAATAGAATGAGACAACTCTTAAAACCCTTGTGGGGGGAGTGTTTCTTTAAAATCACAAAGTTGGGGAGGGGCTGGAGGCATAAAGCCCCCTGGTAGAGCACAGGCCTATGTATAGTATGGAAGAGGTCTTGCGTTCAACCCCAGAACTGCAAAATAACAGTAACAACAACAAGAATATTAGGAAATAAGCGGTGACAAATTTGGTCTCTTACACCTGCTCTGTGTGTGTGTGTGTGTGTGTGTGTGTGTGTGTGTGTGTGTGTAGGGGGGTTCACAAGTCCTAGGACTTGAATTCAGAGCCTGGGCGCTGTCCCTAAGGTTTTTTTTTTTTTGTCGGTCGTGGGGCTTGAACTCTGGGCCTGGGCGCTGTCCCTCAGCTCTTCAGCTCAAGGCAAGCGCTCTACCACTTGAGCTACAGCGCCACTTCTGGTTTTCTGGTGGTTTACTGGAGATAGAAGTCTCACGGTCTCTCCTGCCTGGGCTGGCTTTGAACCGCGATCCTCAGATCTCAGCCTCCTGAGTAGCTAGGATTACAGGCGTGAGCCACCAGCGACCAGCTTCCCTAAGGTTTTTTACTCAAGGCTGGCACCCTACCCCTTCAGTCACAGCTCCACTTCTGGCATTTGGTGGTTCATTGGAAATAGTCTCAGACATTCCTGAATGGGATGACTTTGAATCACCATCCTCGGATCTGTTTCCTGAGTAGCTAGGATTACAGGCGTGAGCCACAGTGCCTGGCTTACTCTGTAAACCCTCCATGTTCTCCCAGAGCATGAGTCAATTCAGAACTAGGTGAATCTCAATGTAAATAATAATAATAATTTGAATAATATTATGGAGGAAACAGGATTAAAAATTTTTTTCCGCTTAGGGGGCAAAATCAGGGATTCTAAGGTCATGAACTTGAGAAATGAAAAGAATGTGGTAAGGAATGGAGAGGAATAGGTGCCAGGCTATGCAAAAATGCCTCCCTCGGTTCTCCCATGGTTTGTGCAAAGAGAAATGCCATAACTATAACCCAGGAGATTGCAAATCAGTGGCTAAGGACCAAATCTGGCTCACAGATAGATGTATTTTAGTTTGTCTGTAGGGCTTCAGGCAAACACATCAATATTTTTAAAAGTTGGGCAGTTTCACATACATTTGAATGTATCTAGATTCCTAGATTTCTAGGAATCGTCTTGAAATAGGGCTGACTCTGGGCTGGCCTTCCTATACCTCACAGGCTGCCCATGCTATGCAGTGTACGTGTGTGTATGTATGTGTGTGTATGTGTATGTGTGTGTGTGTGTGTGTATGTGTGCACACGCACCTGCCCTCAGACTTAAACTTAGGGCCTAATACTATTTCTGAGCATTTGTACTTAAGGTAAGTGCTCTACCACTCAAGCCACAGCTCCACTTCTAGCTTTCACTGTTTAATTGGACAGGAGTCTCATAGACTTTCCTGCCCAGGCTGGCTTCAAATGTGATTCTCAGATCTCAGCCTTCCTGAGCAACTAGGATTACAGGTGAGCCACTGGTCCCTCGCTTCATGCTAAGCATCTTAAGTCTAGGCAGGACGCTCTCTTCTCAGCCAAGCTGGGACAAGGGAGCAGACCTTCCAGCTCACAGTCCCGGCTCCGAGACCTTTCACTGCCTCAGTGGCACTTTTTGGATGGGGTGATCATTAACCACATCTCCCAGAACTGCTGCTCCACATGAAAGATGCTTAAAACAATGGCTTTCTTCTCTTTATGAGAATATTTACTCTATAAGGTTTTTAGGTTTATTCACAACATCCTCTCCATAGAGACACACCTAACTTGGTTTCAGTCCTGTATCTTTAGTGTCTAGGATCTAACACATAATGTTTAATACTGGCTGAGTGAGCTGGGCACTGGTCGATCACACCAGAAATCCTAACTACTCAGGGGGCTGAGATCTGAGGATTGTGGTTCAAAGGCAACCTGGACAGGAAAGTCCATGAGACTCAACTCCAATGAACCACCAGAAAACAGGAAGTGGCATTATGGCTCAAGTGGTAGAGTGCTCGCCTTGAGTGAAAGAGCTCAGGGTCAGTGCCCAGGCCCTGAGTTCATGACCCGATACCAACAAAAAATTAAAAAAATTGGCCAGACGAATCCATGAATGAATCACCAGGAGGTATTATTGTCTGCCTGTCTCTTGTCTCAGCCCAACACCCCTTTCTCTCTTCCCATCAATCTGCAGGAGTGTTGTCTTTTTTTCTTTTTTTCTTTTTTTTTTTGGGTCCGGTTGTGGGGCCTGAACTCTGGGCCTGGGCGCTGTCCCTCAGCTCTTCAGCTCAAGGCTAGCGCTCTACCACTTGAGCCACAATGCCACTTCCGGCTTTTTTTTCTTTTTGCTTATGTGGTGCTGAGGAATCGAACCCAGGGCCTCATGCATGCAAGGCAAGCGCTCTACCACTGAGCCACCTTCCCAGCCCCAGGATTGTTGTCTTTTTTGCCTGTATAGTTCTCACAACCAGACATTCACGGCGCAGCTCTCCCTGCCTTCATTCACTGCCGTCAGATGCACGCCACAATCTATGCCACCCTTTCCTTAGGACTCTTGGCTCAAGTCCTGACCGTGGAATGTCTGGGCCAAGGCTCGTGTGCATTTGAAGTGCTTGGGTGCTCATGTCTGATTTCTCACTGTGAAGTTGCAGCAATTTGTGCTCCACTAATGATATCACACACTCAATCACAGTGGCTGTGCTGACACTTTTAATATTGAGGCAGCTTGATTGGGAGGAAGAGTATCTGGATGTAATCCTCACATCTCTAATAAAGAGGGAAGCACAGCATCTTTCTAACCATGTTGCTCTTTGTTGTTTTTTTTTTTGGTCTGTCATGGGGCTTGAACTCTGGGCCTGGGTGCTGTCCCTCAGCTCTTCAGATCAAGGCGAGTGCTCTATGGCTTGAGCCACAGCACCACTTCCAGTTTTCTGAGTGCTTTATTGGAGATAAGAGTCTCATGGAGTTTCCTGCCTGGGCTGGCTGTGAACCACAATCCTCAGATCTCAGCCTCCTGAGTAGCAAAGATTACAGGCATGAGCCACTGACACCCGGCTGTCACACATTTTTTGGGTCTGGTCATGGGGCCTGAACTCTGGGCCTGGGCGCTGTCCCTCAGCTCTTCAGCTCAAAGCTAGCGCTCTACCACTTGAGTCACAGTGCCACTTACGGCTTTTTTCTTTTTGCTTATGTGGTGTTGAGGAATCGAACCCAGGGCCTCATGCATGCAAGGCAAGCGCTCTACCACTGAGCCACCTTCCCAGCCCCGTCACACATTTTTGAACAGTCACTATTCCAAGTTCTTCTAATGACTGCAGTAGGCTACTTGATTCTGTAAAGCACTCAGTGCCTAACCTCTTAAGAAAAAAATGTATCTAGGACAACTTAAGCCTAGCTACTCAGGAGGCTGAGATCTGAGGATCGCAGTTCAAAGCCATCCAGGCAGGAATGTCCATTGAGACTCTTACCTCCAATCAATCACCAGAAAACCAGAAGTGGCACTGTGGCTCAAAGTGGTAGAGTGCTAGCCTTGAGCTCAGGGATCATACCCAGGCCCAGAGTTCAAGCTCCATGACAGAATAAAAAAAAAAAAAAAAGCTGTGGAAGCGCCAGTCTGACTCTAATCTGGGCTAGTTCAGAATGCAATCTTCACTCAGGTTCAAAGACGGATGGTCTGCGTCGAACCCGCCCTATCTCCTGTTCCCAAGCCCCGTCAGCCCTCACCACTGCCCCCTGGCGGGCAGGGTGCCGGCTCTCAGTGGAAAGAGAATGAGGACAGAGGGAGGGAGAGAGGAGAGCAAGAGAGACGGCGTATGTGTAAGAAAAGTCAGTGTATTTATGGATTGCTTTATAAAAGTTACTATAATACAATGGTACATAGTATTGAATTCACAAAAATATGAACAAATATTTACAGCAAGACACCACAACGGAACACTTCTCTTCAAAACAAGTTACATACGGATGACAGAGTCTATATGCACAAACAACCCTAAAATTTATGTTTTTCTTCTTTGCGGTGAAGGGAAGGGAAGGAAGAAAAAGAAGAAGAAAAAAAAAAAGAAGTAACCCCTCCTCAACATTTCTAAAGCATTTCATTTTCAATGGAAACAGAGGCTTCGGGAAGGAAGGTGGGCCAGCACGTACCTGCACTCCTGCAAACCATTCCCAGGGGAGACGAGGTTCAGGGACGAGGGCCCAGCCCAGCACTCCAGTGTCAAGGTCAGCCAAGGTTAACTCGCCCCCCCCCCCCCCGTGGGCGAGTGGGGGAGGGGGCGGCTCATCCCTGCTGCTCCCTCTTTTTTGTGGGGCGTGGGAAACGACACAGGAGGAGATCGGATGGCACCAGCCCCTTGGGGGCTGCACAAGTAACTTAAATCTGTTGTGTCTACACACTACATCTCCTCGTGTGAAAAATAAATATTTCCTTGGTTGCACAATTAGGCAGAAAAAAAAATTCACAAAAGGAAGAGAAGGTCGCTGCCGTGTCCAGTTGCCCCTCCCCCTAGTCTTAAGCACCCACCTCCTGACCTCCAGACCAGTGGGCAAAGTCTCCACCCCAGGGCCTGCGGTGAAAGAACATTTTTTTTTTTTTAAAGAAAACACAACAAAACCACCAATGACCGAAGAAGAGAAAAATAAAATTCTTTGTACAGAATTTACATGATAACAAGCTTGACACAAGCTGAGGTACCAGAGGCTCGGGCCCGGCCCACCCGTGGTGGGCGGTGGACTGGGCAGGCGTGGCCCATGCGCGCCCACCCACCGGGAGCCTCGCTTCTTCATGAGGGCTCTGGACTGGACAGTCATGTTCCAGAAGTATTTACACGCCTGCTCTGCTCTGCTCTGGGGGGAGGGGACAGGGGACTTGTTTTTGTGTCTTTTTTTTTTTTCCTTTTCTTTTCTTTTTTTGGAAGTACAAAGAAATGAGCAAAAAAAGTCTCCTCACTGTGTTTCCACAAGAAACAATGTTTCCGAGAAAAAGTCCTTTATGGCAGTCTATTTACAGAAGTTGGTTCTGAAACTTCAAAAATCTATTTTTTCCCTTCGTTCTGATTTTATACACATATTAGAAAAAAATTCATAGAAATAAACCCTGAAAAGGATGGGAAGTAGAGGAAAAAGGACAAAATGCCAAAAAAAAAAAAAAAAAAACCTGTCAAAGACTTAGATGTGAGTTTTAAAATCTTTTCCAAGATTTTTTTCCTTTCTCTGGGAGAAATAAATCTGCTCACTCTAGAAATAAATATGCTCTGGTCTCCGGGGCGGGGTGCTGGGGCCGAGGGGGTGCTGCGCAGGAGAAGATCATCAATGACAACAACAACAAAAAATGCCACTTGCGAACAAACGGTCAGACAACCCGTAAAGGCGGGGCTGGGGACCTGCCTGCCCCGAAGCCCCTCCCACTAGGAGGGCGGGGACAGCAGGGAGCAGACACCCTACCCAGCGCCCCACCAGGCTGGGGACCTCAGGAGGCTCCCTCATTGCTGGCATCCGAATGAGAAAGTAAACATTGAACCCCAGGATTTGGGGGTTGGACAGCTTGGCCGCAGGGTCAGCCTGGCAGGGCGGCATTGTGGTCCCCGGGGAAGGCTGGAGCTCTCCTCACTGAGCGCGCAGGCAGAGAGGGGCCTTTCGGATACATAGTGTTCTGAGGTCACGGCCAGCCCCGCCCTGTGTCCCCGCACAGGGTCCTGGACCCCGGGCTGACACATCCATGGTCACTCGGCAGCTTTGAACCCCCTGCAGCCCTGCCCCCCCATTCTGCCTTCACATTTCAGCGGTTAAAATGTCTCTTCTTAGGACAAGGAAGAAAAGGAAAGAGAAGACAGAAGAACATAGCAGCATTCACGGGTAGGCTGAGGAGAGGACAGTCCAGAGAGAAGACAGGTGGATGAGGAGAGGAAACAGACGGACAGACAGTTACACACAAAGAAGACAAAGTTTGTGTTGAAGTTAAACAAAAGTCCTGAAAGAGACACAGGTGGAGAGACAGAAGCCCTTTCCCACTGCGGGGCTGGAGCTGCGGGCGGGTCCTGGGGTAGTGTGGGTGCCAGGCCCTGGCATGGCGGCTGGGAAAAGGGACAGCACCTGAAATGGGCAGGAGGTGGGGCCTGGCCGGGGAGAGGGGTCCTCCGGAGCCCCAGGCGGGCGCAGCTGACATCCTTTGCGTTTGGCACCCGGGATCCTAGTTGAGGGTCCCGCGGCAGTTCTCAGAGCCACAGAGGCAAGGAATCTTGACGTCCTCGATGGGGAACTTGTAGTCGTAGGTGATCTCCTCGTTGACGCTGATGTGCTGCTTGGAGTAGATCACAATCTTCTTCTGCGACTCCACTGTGATCACCTTGGCATAGCAGTTGGGCTGCAGGCAGAGGGGGCGGGGCGGGCAGTGAGCAGGCACCCCCACCCCCTCCTTTCTGATTTTCAATAAAAACCATGATAATGGTAACCGTTATATCTCAAAACTTATTCTACGTTTCCATTCCTAGTCCAGGCATCATTTCTGAGCTATAGACTAAGGGGTCAAAACACATGATTGCTGCCTATTTCTGTCAGTAAAGATTTCGGCACTTAGCCATTTCCACTTTCCCATTCATTTCCATCTCCTCTGGGGTTGTTTTTTGGGGGGCTAGTCCTGGGGTCTGAACTCCAGGCCTGGGTATTGTCCCTGAGCCTCTCTGTGCTCAAGGCAAGCCTTCTACCACTTGAGCCACAGTACCACTTCTGGCTTTTTTTTTTTTTTTTGTCGGTCATGGGGCTTAAACTCTGGGCCTGAGCACTGTCCCTCAGCTCTTCAGCTCAAGGCGAGCGCTCTACCACTTGAGCTACAGTGCCACTTCTAGTTTTCTGGTGGTTCATTGGAGATAAGAGTTTCATGAGGGGCTGGGAAGGTGGCTCAGTGGTAGAGCGCTTGCCTTGCATGCATGAGGCCCTGGGTTCGATTCCTCAGCACCACATAAGCAAAAAAGATAAAAAGCCGGAAGTGGCACTGTGGCTCAAGTGGTAGAGTGCTAGCCTTGAGCTGAAGAGCTGAGAGACAGCACCCAGGCCCAGAGTTCAGGCCAAGACCGGACCCCCCACCCTCCAAAAAAAAAAAAAAAAGAGTTTCATGGACTTTCCTGCCCGGGCTGGCTTTGAACAGCAATCCTCAGATCTCAGCCTCCTGAGTAGCTAGGATTACAGGTGTGAGCCACAGGCACTCGGCTTTCTGGCTTTTTCTGTATGTGGTACCCAGGAATGGAACCCATGCTAGGCATGCTAGGCAAGCACTCTACCACTGAGCCACCTTCCCAGACCCTCTGGGGCTGCTTTTGCTATAAGGGTGAAGTTAGTAACTTTGGAGGTCTAGAGTTACCTGTGCTCCTTTAGAAGAGAGGTCCAGCACCCCTGCTCAAGACCCAGAATCCACCACCCGCTGCACACCCGCCTGGGGAGTCATGAGTCGTTATGCTCTGGGCAGAGGCTGCAGCCCTGCTGCGCCCGGCACTCACGTTGCAGCTGTGGTTGATGAACCGCGCAAAGTTGCCGCACTTGGTGGCATCGATGATGGTGTCGTGGTCCACCCGGAACATGTAGCTGCTGCCAATGCCCTCGTCCTCATAGCGCTTCTCCCGCATGTCCGCGATCACCTGGCCACAAGAGGATGTGAGCCAGGGCCAGACCCGAGATGCCCTGGCCCCCGCCCCGGGCCCCTGGGCAGCGCCTAACCTGTCGGATGTTCTGGCCCACGTACTCGATGACCATCTCGTCGGCTGCAATGGGCTCCATGGCAAACAGGCCCCAGTCGTGAATGTGGCTCTTGCAGAACTTGAGCTTTTTCTTCCGGAACTGAGGGGAGGGACGGAAGGAAGGGGGTGACACCGGCCTCAGGTCCAGCGTCCCCCACAACTGTCCCAGGGCAGGCGGTTGGGGTCCTCACCTTGAGCTGGTTGAACTTGAGCAGGTCACTGTCACAGCTGCCAGTGAAGGAGGACAGCAAGCGGCGCTGCTCCGACCGGCGCTCGGAGCCCGCGCGGGTGGAGGCGTGCGGCTGCGCAGGGATGCTCATGCCCTGCCGGGCACGGGACACGGGGTCAGACAGGCACAGGGCACGGGGTCAGACAGGCACAGGGGACGGGGTCGGAGGGGGACAGAGGACAAGGTAAAAAAGGGAGATAGGACAAGGTCAGACAGAGAGAGAACAGAGTCAGACAGGGACAGAGGACAAGGTCAGACAGGGAGACAGAACAAGGTCAGACAGAGACAGGATAAGGTCAGACAGGGACAGAAGATGGGGCCAAACAGGGACAGAGGACAAGGTCACACACAGAGAGAGCAGGGTCAGACAGGGACACAGATGACAAGGTCAGACAAGGTCAGGCTCAGAGGCCTGACTCCCCAGCCCAGGCTCTCCCTGGCTGCCCCGAGGGGGAGGGGCCATGTGTTCAGGCTGCAATCAGGGGAGGCCTCCAGCCCCTCATCTCCCCAACACAGCCCAGCCCCGGGGCCCATGGCACTTCCTGAATCTCTTCAAGCTGTTTCCTTCATGGCCACTGAAGTTCCACCCCACCTTCAGTTCTGTCCTGGAACTGCAGGACTGCACCCCAATTTCATCTGTACCCCTGAACTCTGCACAGCAGCCACTGGGGGAGAAGGGGGCCTCAAAAGCCACAGGCCGAAGCCCCTGCCCCACATTTTCTCTGAAGACCCTCCCTCAGTTTGCCATCAAAAATATCAAACCCAGCATCACCCAATGAACTACCCCCAAACCAGGGGTGGAGCTGTGGCTCAAAAGTGAGATGGCATTAGGCTTGAGCAAAAGAGCTCAGGCCCAGCACCCAGGCTCTTAAGTCCAAACCCCACAGTGGAAAGAGAATAAATTAAACAAAAATAAAAATTCAAAAAAGGAAGGCTCGAACAGGCCTATCCATCCCTATAATCCTGCAATCCTAGCTTCCAGGAGGCTGAAATCTGAGGACCGCAGTTCAAAGCCATCCCAGGGAATCAAATCTGGAGTCATCTCTAACTGACCAGCAAACATCCTGAGGTGGAGCTGCGGCCCAAGCGGTGGAGTGCCAGCCTTGAGAGAAAAAGCTGAGCAGCATGACTTTTCAAGCCCGTCCCGGCGGGCACCAGCACGCGCGCGTGCGCGCGCACACGCGCAGAGGAAATGCGGCTGTTCCTTCACGGGGCGGCCGCTCTCCCCGGCCCTGGGGCGGCGCGTACCTGCGTGTCGGCGGGCGGCTCGTCGGTGCTGGCGCGGCTGCTGTTGAGGTACCTGAGCTTGTCCTTCTTGTCGATGGTGTAGAAGCCCTCGCTGCGCGCGCAGCCCGTCACGTGCTCGCGGATGCCATCGTCGCGCTTCTTCTTCTTGGCTGAAGAGAGGCTGGTGGGTGGGTGGAGGTCAAGGGCCACACGAGGTTCTCGGACCGCCCCTGCTAGACCCGGGGCCCTTGGCCGGCCTCCGGCCCACAGGCGGCCCCCCCCGCCCCCCAACCGGCCTCCGGCCCACAGGCCCCCCACACAGGCCGGCCTCCGGCCCACAGGCGTCGCGGGCCCACGCCCGCGCCAGCCCACAGGCCGGCCTCCGGCCCACAGGCCCCCGGCCCTCGCGTGCTGCCCACCCGGCCGAGCACCCTGCTGGACGGGGCCTGGGGCGCGCGCGCGCGCGCGCCTGCTGGCGGCAGGATATAGGGGTGGTAGACCCAGAGCGTGTCGTTGAGCCAGTCCATGCCGTTGTCCTGCTGCAGCAGCCGCTCGTAGGTGACGCACAGGAAGCGCACGTCCTCCTCGTCGATGCCGCCGTTCCAGATGTCGTACAGGATGGTCATCTCCTCGAACTCGGAGCGCGGCCGGAACGGGGGCGGCGGAGGGGAGTGCTCGGGGGGCGAGGCGGCGGCGGCGGCGGGGACGCCGGGCTCCTCGGGCCGCTTCCGCGGGGGCCGGCGCCAGGGGCCCCGCGCCTTGGCCGGGTCCAGCAGCCCCTCGGCGCCGGCGTCGTCGCGGCCGCGCGGCCCGGGCGGGATGGCCTCGGACGGCCACTGGTTGTCCAGCTCCTTGAAGGGCAGCTTGGGGGGCTCGGCCGGTGGGGGCGGCGGCGGCGGCGGCGCGGGGACCCCCGCGTTCCGGAAGTCCAGGGTGAGCGCGCGGGGGTCGCGGGCGGCGCCGGGGAAGAGCGGGGTCTGCGGCTGGCCGGGCAGGAGCAGGAGGTCGCGCCCCAGGGCGGCGCCGTCCAGGGCGAGCACGGACGGCGGGGAGCGCCGGGGCCGGCCCGGCTTCCGCTTGACGGGGGGCGGGCAGGGGGCCAGGGGCGCGGGCAGCAGCGGGGGCAGCGCGGGGGGCGCCCGGGCCGGCGCCCGCAGCACGGGGACGGGCAGCGCCAGGGGCAGCGGCAGCGGCAGGGGCAGCGGCAGCGGCAGCCCGGCCTCCAGGAGCACCGGCGAGGCCAGCGGCGAGGCCAGCGGGCGCACGCGCTCCTCGCGCCGGCCGGCGGGCAGCGGGCACACGGGCAGCAGCAGCGGCGCCCCGGGCTCGGGGAAGGCGGGCGGGAAGCTGAAGTCCCGGCCCGGGGTCCGCGGGAGGCCCCCGCCGCTCAGGCCGGGGGACGGGGACGGGTAGGAGAAGGGGCTGCCGGGCACCGGCGGGGAGCTGAGCGGCAGCCCGCCGCTGCCCCCCGACAGCGTCTCTGCGCCCGGCGTGGCGGGCACCGTCTCCGTGCTCTGCGACTTGGAGAGGCCCGGCGTGCGCGGGGGCGGGTCCTCGGGGGGCTCCGGCGGGGCGGGGGGCGGCGGGGGCCGCGGGCTCTCGGGCTCAGGCGGCGGGCTGGGCGGCCGGGGCGGCTGGGGGGGCGGCAGCGGAGGCGGGGGTGCCGGGGCCGGCACCGGGGGGCGCTCCGGCTCACCGGCCGGGGCGTCCTCTGCAGACAAGAGGGGAACCAGCGATGGGTGGCTGAGCGCAAACACCCCTTGGCGCCCCGCGCTCCTTTGCTCTTTGCGCCGGTCCGGGGGCTTGAACCTGGCTGTCCCTGAGCTGCCTTTGCTCAAGGCTGGTGCTCTACCACTTGAGCCACGGCTCCACTTCAAGCTTTTTGGTCGATTATCAGAGATAAGAGACTAGCAGACTTTCCTGCCCAGGCTGGCTTCAAACTGATCCTCCCATCTCAGCCTCCTGAGTAACTAGGATGGGAGGTTGTGGGCCACCCGCCCGGTCTTGGTGCCCTGCTCTTGCTGCTTAATCCCCGACGGAGTCCCCAGGTCTGTGAGGACAGACCTTCCCCAGAGACACTTCAGCCTGCTGGGCACCCAGCCCAGAGTCAGCACAGTGCTGGCAGGGGAAATCAAAGACGCGGGCGCCGTGGCTGCTAGCCTCTCCCCGGATCCCCAGAACCACAGGCCTGGGCCTGGGGTGACCAGCAGGTGAAGCCCTCCCTCAGCTTGAACCTCAGCATCACAAAAATCAATACTAATCTTCAAATCCCACACTCTAGTTGCCTACAAGGTTTCCTCTAGGGACAGAGTTGGTCACCTCTCTTCTCTGTGGCACCTGTCAGAACCTTCAAGGTTTCTCCTCAGCACGCCCAGTCATAGAACACATTCTAACTCACCAGCTGTCCTGCCTCTTAAAACCCCAAGGACAGACATTTTTGCCTGTCCCAATGCTTAAAACAGTACCAGGAGCCAGGCTCACACCTGTAATCTCAGCTACTCAGGAAGTTGAGATCGGAGGATTACAGTTCAAAGCCACACAGGGCAGGAAAATCCCCAGAGACTGTGATCCCCAGTTCACCAGCAAAAACCAAAAATGGAGATTGCAAAAACTAATTACAGGCAAAACAAAACAAAGTAACAGTATCAGGATACAAGTTTTCTTTCCTGAAAGAATTCAGGAAGGCGTGTGCTAACCATATGGCTTCTGCCCACTTAAATGAACACGCTGTAAGTCTGTCCCCACTGTACAGACAAGTCAGGCCACCACTGTCAGGCTGCATTCTCCTGGACCCCAGTAGAGAAGCAAAGCCTTTCCTCAGCTCCATCAAGGCCGAAAAGGGCAGAGCCCGGAACCTTTGCTTGCCTGGCCTGGCACCCCAAGGCCGCACCTCTCATCTGTCACTAGAATGACCATGGACATGGCCCCCCCCCAGCTTTTTGGGGGGAAGGGGAGTATCTTACAGAACCAAAGGTCCGAGGACTAAACTCCAAATGAAATACTGGCATCAAACCAGACTAGCAACAGTCGCTGGCAGGCTCACCTCCATTACCCAGTGACCCACGTGAGGTGCACCATCGGATAGAGGAGGCCATCAGGAGAAACTGAGGCAGAAAGGAGCCTCATGGCTAGTCTCAACAGGGAGGACATCCAGCCCTCCTCCCCCTGTCCCTCTAGGAGGCTGGAGGCATTACCTGAAATTTGTTCCGGGGAAGAGGGGGCCTGAGCCTCTATATCTCTGGCAGGAGGTGGCTCTGGAGACAGCAACATGGCCTCTTCGTGGCTTAGGCCTGGCTCTTCCGGGAGCTCTTGGCAGCCCCCAAGCTCCTCAGCACGCACGGGTTCGGGGGGCTCTTCTGGGGTGGGGGTCTGGCCCCGGGGGGCTTCGTCCTCAGCCTCAGCCCTCAGATCCTCTTCCGTGTCCGCGGGCTCTGCCACGGGCTCTGCCCCGGGTGCCCCGGGCGCACTCAGAGGCGCCTCGGCCGTTTCCTGCTGGAGCTCCTTGGCCTCTGCAGGAGCCATGTTCTCCTCTGCCATTACCGCCGCAGCAGCCTCCTCTTCTTCCTCCTCCTCCTCCTCCTCCCCTTCCTCTTCCTCCTCTTTCACCATGGCCAACTCATCTTCATCCTCCGAGGATGAAGACGAAGACTCAGACTCGGAATTAGAGCTTGACTCGAACTCAGAAGCCTCGGAGCTCTCGCTGGACGAGTCGGCTGTGGCCCTGGAGCTGCCTGCGCTCACCGTCTCCTCTGGAAACGGACAAAGGTGCCTCACGATCTGTGACCCCCCCCATGCCACAGCCTTCTCTGGCGGCCTCGGATCAGCGTGGGGAGGGGAAGGCCAGCTAGTCACCACTTTTAAAAATGGAGAGGAAATGAGCTTCCAACTGCTCATTTTAAAGCAAAGAACCCCAAAAGCATTCATACTGCCATCAGGCCACCACCTTCCTCCACCCCAGCCCCACCCCATGCACCAGCTCCGCCCGGCACCGCACCCCCCACTCACCTCCGTCCGAGTCCCCTCCACCCTTCTCGCCCGCTTCTGACAGGGCTGTGTCCTGGTCTTCATTTTCAGACTCTTCCCGCGCATCACTGTCTTCTTCATCTTCATCCTGGGGGACGAGGACAGTTGGGGACGGGGGTGAGCTGCAGGCCCCCTGGAGGCTTGCCCTGCCCCCTGGCGTCCCTGCCATGCTGACCTTCTCGGAGGTGGAGGAGGTAGAGGAGGAGGAGGAGATCTGACTCCTGCGGTCTTCCTCCTCCTCCTCGTCAGCCTCACCCCCATCCTCTTCCTCCTCTGTGCTTTCCTGCTCTTCATCTTTCTCCGAGGCGGAGGATGAGGGGGACGTGGTGGAGGACCCCGAGGAGGAGGATGCCGAAGAGGAGGAAGACACAGACAGGGACTCCTTCTCGTCCTCTTCCCCGCCGCTGTCCAGCTCCAGCGGCCGCGCCGGTCGCCGCCGCACACCCACGCCCTTGGGGTCCCGCTTGGCAAGCTCGCAGGGGGCATCCGCCATGTCCCGTTCCCGCTCCCGCTCCGACTCTGTGGGGAGAGGAAAGTCAGAGCAGCCCAAGGGACACTGGGGAGAAGCAGAACCCCGGTCACCGGAGGGAGACCAAGTGGGGGGCGGGGAAGGCATGCACAAACCTTCGTCTTCCTCATCCACAGATGTGGAGGGCCGCAGGCGTTTCTGGTCACCAGAGGAGGCTGCGTCCGGTGGCTCCTTCCTCTTGACCTTGAAGGAGGGCAGGCGGATGGCCCCTCGCAGCCCAATGCCCAGGCCCAGGCCCTCATAGCCCAGGCCCTCCCCCTTGCCCCAGGACTCCAGCAGGCAGGAGGCAATTCGGTCCTTGGGCTTTGGCCGGTCCTCATCCTTGTGTTCTCCTGACTTCACGGGGGTCAGCGAGGCCTGGACGGGAGAGGAGGGGATGGTCGCCAGTCAACCCTCGTCCTGAGCAGCAACACAGCAGTGCCAGATCAGGGCGCTCTTCCTTCCAGAAAGGCCTGTCCCGCCAGTGGCGCAGCGTGGGCCACCCCAGCCACAAGCCTCAGACGAGGGAATTGAGACGCAGCATGGTATAAGGACGTGTCTGGAGGCCCAGACGAAAGTTTCACAAGTGAGATGGACACTGTCCCAGTTTTCGGCCCCATGCTGCTCGGCTGCATTCAGAACGGTTCCCACAGATCTGATCTCACTGGGTACTGAGACATCACCCCGACAGCCTTCAGGAGGCGTGAGGCCTGGCCAAAATAGCCCTGTCGACAGCATGGGGCTCTTGATTCAGATTATTAGTGGGACAGCTATTGGTTAGCTGTAAGTAGCACTCATCTGGGAAGGCCCAACTAGAGAGCTGTAAATGAGTATACTCCATGAGTCCTTCTAGTTTCCTATCTGTCATCCTAGCTACTCAGGAGACTGAGAGCTGAGGATGAAGTTCATAGCCAACCCGGGCAGGAAAGTCCATGAGACTCTTAGCTCCAATTGCCAACAGAAAAGCTGGAATTGGAGACATGTGGCTCAAGTGGTAGAGCCCCAGCCTTGAGTGAAAATGTTAAGCAAGAGCCTAAGGCCCTGAGTTCAAGCTCTGGAACTGGCATTACGTTACAGAAAGCGGGCACGGTGGCACCGAGGACACTAAGGCGGGAGGATGGCTGGCACCTGAGTGCAGCGTAGCCCAGGTGACACAGCAGGAGTCCACCTCTTAGAGAAACCAGCGGGAGAAGACATGTTCTCTTATGCAGAGGGAAAAGTGGTTGTAGCTTAACTGTGGGATTAGGAATTTAAAGAAATACCCTGTGAAAGAGGAAGAGAGTCGTCCTGCCAAGGCGAGATTTGGTGCCAAACAAAGCAGGAGACAAAGGGCAGGGAGCCAGTCCAAGGTGCCTCAGCCATGGAACCATGGCCCTGTGGCCACTGTCACGTGTGGCTACCGAGCAGGAGGGCAGATGAGGAGCCAGCTTTCACTTTTGCTTCCTCTCAGCTGGCTGAAACTAGAAGAGCCAGGCACTGGAGGCTCACGCCTGTAATCCTAGCTACTTAGGAGGCTGAGATCTGAGGATCACGGTTCAAAGCCAGCCAAGGCAGGAAGCCCAGAAGTCCATGAGACTCTTATTTTTTATTTCCAATTAACCAGCAGAAAACCCGAAGTGGTAGAACAGTAGCCTTAAGCAAAAAGAGCTTAGGAATAGCATCCAGGCCCTGAGTTAAAGCCTCACCCCCCAAAAAACAAAAACCAAAACTAGAAGAGCCACATGAATCTGGCAGATGTGGGCTCTGACAGAGCAGTTAGAAAGAGGCTATGCTTGCCTGGCGCCGGTGGCTCATGCCCGTAATCCTAATTACTCAGGAGGCTGAGATTTGAGGACCACAGTTCAAAGCCAGCCCAGGCAAGGAAAAGTCCATGAGACTCTTGTAGAAGTGGCGCTGTGGTTCAAGTGGTAGAGCTATAGCCTTGAGCTGAAGAGCTGAGGGACAGCGCCTAGGCCCAGAGTTCAGGCCCCACAATGGACAAAAAAAGAGGCTATGCCAGCCACCATCGCGCTGAGGGCAGGTCTTAGGAGAAGGGGCCGGTCTGGCTCCCGTCTTAGCTCCGCTAGCCACCCTGGGGACCCGTGCCCTCCTACCTTGGCCATCCTCTCCTTCTTGTCCCACCATTCATCAAAGGCCCGGAAGGCCACCACCTCCACCATCTTGCGGTTCAGATCGCGTTTCATAATGGCCTTGAGCTCCTTAAGCACCACCAGCAGGACGCCATCCACTGTGGCCTTGTGTGGGTCCTCCTGCCGTGGTACATATCCCGGCGGTGGCACTGATGGGTCAAACTTGGGCAGGGGTGGCCAGGGCTGCCCACGGCCTGGGCCACTGTTGTTCAGGGAGAAGGGGCCCCGGTAGGGCGGCAAGTTGACAAACTGTAGCCCAGCCGAAGCGGCCGCCGCTGCCGCTGCCATGAAGGGTGGATACGGGCAAGCGCCCTGGCCGGTCATCAGTCGGCTCAGCATCTGTGTCTGCATCTGGAAGGACATGGGCATGCCACCCCACTGGCTGCCTAGCACGTGGCTCATGTCCACTTGCATCACAGGAAACAGTCCTGGAGGGAAGGGTGGCAATGGCGGCAGGATGGGTGGGGGTGGGACGCCGGGTGGTGCTGGCAGGGGTGGGGGGGGCACTGTCACAGCAGGGTGGGATGGAGGTGGTGGGGGTGGCGGTGGGGGCAGAGGGGGAGGCATGGGGAAGCCTGGCTGTGGTGGGGGCGGAGGGGGGGGCGGAGGCAGGGGTGGGAAGCCAGGTGGCGGAGGCAGTGGCAAATTCGGGGCCAGCACGTTAGGGGCCGCCACAGCTGCTGCCCCTGGCGTCACCACCATGGGCTTGGGGCAGTCGGCGCTGGTGATCGGAGCCGAGGGCATCTCATCATCCGAGATCTCCATGTCCTCGCCGGAGGACGGCTGGCCCTGTGGAGAACAGGGGGAAGCAGGTGTGGTGAGGGGAAGGTGGGGTAGCCAAGGACTCCCGAGCCCCTCCAAGATCAAAAACATCAGCATTGCTGAGCACCGGTGGCTCACGCCTGTCATCTTAGCCCCTCAGGAGGCTGAGATCTGAGAATCGCGGTTCAAAACCAGCCTAGGCAGGAAAGTCTCCAGTGAATCATCAGAAAACCAGAAGTGGTGCTGTAGCTCAAGTGGAAGAGCACTCGCTCTGAGCTGAAGAGCTCAGGGACAGCGCCCAAGCCCAGAGTTCAAGTCCCAGGACTGACAAAACAAAAACAAAACACAAACAACAAAAAATAAACTCATTCATTCAACAGATATTTGCTCTGTGCCAGGCAGTCCCAGATGCTGGGAACATGGAAAAGACTTGGACAGATGTAACTCTAGCTCTGTGGAATGAACTTGTAGATGGAAGAGGCGCAGAATAACCGGAATGAAATTAGGTAAGTCAGGTAGGAGACAGATCAGACAGTACCTCACAGAGAGACAGGAGAAGGGTGAGGGAAGGGGCAGGGGCAGGGGCAGGGAATGAGGATTGTTTCAACTTGGGGGATTCTGTTTCAATGTACCTTCACAGAGATGATACTAATAAACTTTATGGTGGCTTCAACACTTACATTTTATCTTCAGCTTTTCTAATAAGGAAATTGGTACAGAGCTTAAGTAACTTCCCTCGATGGGGCCAGAATTGACCTCTGCCCCATGCCTGCTGTCTTGTGACACAGAAAGTGACACTGGAGTGAGGGGATGTGGTTGCTGGGGTTTTGTGCGCAGGGCTGGGGGTGAATCTAGGACTTGGTGCACGCCACACTAAGCAGCCACATTCCCAGCTCCAGAGGTTTGTTCCTATCTTGCCTTAATCACTCTTTTCACCTGGAGAGCGCAGGCCAGTGCGGGGGCTGAGGGCCGTGGGCAGGCACGGTGTCCTATCTTATCTACAGGAGAACCTCACAGCTCTACCAGGCTCCGTTGTGACAAGTGAGGAAAGGCCAGCTACTGTCACACATGAGAAACAGGGCTGGGACACCTCCAATGCATGCTCTGACACATATACTGAGAGACCAGCATTTGTGGATTGAGGCAGAGTACTCAGAGGCCTGGGTAAGACCTACAGGTGAGGGAGGTCTGAGGGAACCTGGGGGGGGGGGGGGTGAAGACGATGATCACACCCACAGGGGGCAGGAGGCTGGGGATTTTTTCTAGTCCCTTCACACACACAAGCAAACATGCTCTCCTTCTCCAGGCACCTGGGCACAAGACCGGGAGGGTAGGCGGAATGGGCCCGACACTGGGAGAGAACGCTCCAGGACCTCCACCTGACAGCTCCCAGGACAGGAGCAGTGCACAGAGGGTTAAGCCAGGCCTCTGCGGCCAGCCAATCACAGGCACCCAGCTCCAGCCCTGCCCCTGCATGGGGTGGAAGCCCTCAAGAGCACTTCAGCTGCAGGCTGGGGAGCCTGGGCTCTGCTGGAGCGGGCCCTGGGGCGGCCTCTCTCACTAACCCATTCCACAGGTCATGAAACAGACCCCGGAGGTCATCTCAGCTTACCTGACGGTTGGAGCCTTAACTTCCAACCTCCACTCTGAGAAGGGAGCCCTTCCAGCTCCCCCGCCTAGCCTCAGCCTCAGTCACAGCGGCCCGGCCCGCCTGGCCCAGCGGCGGCTCTACCCGACACCAGTAGAGGGCTCCCGAGGGCCGCCTGTCCAGGTTCCCTAGGCTCCAACTCCGGGCCTCCATTTCCCCTTGCCTCCAGCAGGGGTGATCCTGTCCTCCAGCTACTCTGGGCTTTCTATCTGGGGCCAGCTGATCAGTAAGGTTGAAGACCCTCGACCCCAGGAAGCCAGCCGAGCGAGGAGATGGCAGGGCCGGCAGCCCCGCCTCCCCCACCTGTCACCTCCTTCTGCCTGGACCCAGCTACCAGACACCACTTCCCCAGAATGGCCTGCCCGGCCCCCGGCCTCTGCCACCTGTGGGCCCCGCTGCGCCTCCCAGGGCCGGTCTGATCCAAGCAGGGAACCGGCCCTGGGCCACGCGGGGCCACGGGCTGCAAACGCCTGCAGCAGGAAGAGGGGACCTAACCTTCCCGAGGCCAGGCGGGATGTCTGAGGACAGGGTGGGGGCTGCCCGTGTGCGCGCTGGGCTCCCCAAGAGTGCGTGCCTAACTCCTTCCCCCTGGGGCCCGTGGGCCGGTGGCCGGGTGCTGCCCAGGCTGCCGCGGTCCCTTCGGGAGTCCGGAGCTCCAGCCCGGCTGCCGGCTCCTAAGCCACCTGCGGACTCCAGCCGGATCCGCAGCCAGGGTTCACCCGCGGGGAGTGCGGGCGCAGCCGGGGGCTCGTAGCACCGAAGCTCGGGCGCACGGGCCCGGCTGCCACTGTGCCTGAGCCGGCTTCCCTCAATGTTCTGGGCAGGGAACACAGACAAGAACCAGTGGCGGACGCGGGGCCCAGGGCCGTTACCTCATCCATCTTCTCCGAGCCTGGGGTCCCGTCCGCAGCCAGGTCCAGGGCCGTGTCGGCCTGGCCCAGGAGCGCGGCGGGGTCCGGGGGCCCCGGCTCCGGCGGGGGCCGCGGGCCCAGGCCCAGACCCGGCTCCTCGTCCTCGTCCGAGTCGGGCAGCGGCGTGGGGCTGATGTCTTCCAGGCCGGTGCTGGAGGGGCGCGAGGAGGGCGGCGAGGGGCCGCGGAAGCCGGGCTGGGAGCTGCCGAAGGGGGCGAGCGGGGAGAGCTGGGAGGAGGAGGAGGAGATGGGGCTGCCCTCCATCTGCAGCTCGGCGTCCGAGTCCTGCTCGCGCAGGAAGGGCAGCTTGGTGCGCTGCTCCTTCAGCAGCATCTCGATGCGCGAGTCCAGGCTGTCGTGCGGCGGCTCGGGCCCCGCGGGCGAGGCCTCGGGGGCCGGCGTGCCGGGGCTGTCGCAGGGCTCGGGGCTCCAGCCGAAGGCGGCCCGGCCGCCCAGCTCCATGCCGTCGGCGGCGTCCGGGGGCGGCGGGCCCGGCGGCGTGCCCGGCCTCTCCTTGGCGGCAGGCTCGGTGGGCGGCGGCGGCGGGGGCGCCGGCGCCCGGCGGAAGTCCGAGCCGTCGTGGGGCTCCTCGGGGGGTGGGGGGAACGGGGGCGCCGCGGCCTGGTACGGGGAGAAGGCGGACTTGAACCCGGGCGCCGCGGCGGCCTGGGCCGGCGGCGGGGTGTGCGCGAAGGCGGCGGGGTCCGGCGGCTGGGGCTTGAAGGGGGGCCCGGGGGGGCCCGAGCCGCCGCCCAGCGGCGCGAAGGGCAGGTCGGCCGCCGCGCCCCGGAACGCGGCCCCGGCCGAGGAGTTGTGGACGTAGTGGTGCTCGTGGCGGCGGTTGTAGGCGTCGGTGAACTTGCTGTCGTGGCGCCGGGCCTTGAAGGGGGCCGCGGGGTCCGGGCCGAAGAGGTAGGAGGGCGTGGGCTGGCGGCTGGAGTAGCTCGAGTCCTGCGAGAAGGGTGTGCCCAGGCGCGGCGTGAGCGGCGTGCCCGGCCCGTACGAGTTGGGCGTGTCCAGCCGGCAGCTGGAGTAGGCCGTGTCCTGCGAGAAGGGCGTCCCGCCGCTGGTGGGGGTGACCGAGGACGAGCCCGAGCCGCAGCCCGCAGACAGAGTGCCATCTTTGAGGCGCTTCAGGGCATCTGACAGCTGGAGAGAGGCAGGTGAGAGGTGAGATCTCCGGGCTGGGGACAGGGCCCGGCGCACACGATGGGATGGGGTATTTGCCCTTCTCCCTCCGACAGCTAGGGAGCTCAGAGCTACCAGGAAAGGAAGTGGGATGTCAGAAAGGCCTTAATTTTTCTCAACTTTCAGGAGTAGCCCACTGCCCTCAGGAAACCCGGAGGGCTTTCCCTGATCCTGGAAGCAGGGGAGCAGGACATCCAACGCTAGGCCTCCCACCTTCCAGACCAGAGAGATGACCAAGAACCAAGCTGAAGGAAGTGGCAAGTGGCTCTGCTCTGTCTAGCCTCACACACCTCTCTCGGGGTCTAAATCAGGCAGTGGGAGGTAGGCCTAATGAAGAATCTAACCAGAGGCAGGGAGAGAAGAATTTGACCAGAGGTGGAGAGACTCCTCTCTGAGAGTGCGCAGCCAGAGCAGGGGGCAGCTGGCCGAGTCTCCCCTGGGTAGGGCTGGCGGGGAGAGAGGCCTGCCATGCTCTGAAAGGGGGGGCCGAACTCTGCCTTCTGGGGGTGGGGTGACCTGGGTACCACGCTGGGCACAGCCATGTGTTGGCATTGCTGTGGATGGCCAGGTTGCCCCAGCCCACATGGAGGAGAGCTGGGGGAAGGGTGGTGTGAGTCGGGAGGCACAGCCTGGGAAACAGGGCATTCAGAGCTCTGTGAAAGCGGTTCACCTCCTTCCTCGGGCCTTCATCTCCAGAGCTAGAGAAGGGGAAAGGCAGGGCCTGGGTGGGGGTCTGATCAGGGGATGTAAGGGGGGCTGCTGTCGAGAACCCACCTGCAGGGCCTCATTCACGATTGGAGAGACGGCATCCAGCTCCCCCACAGGAAGGGTCTGGGGGGTGTACCGGCCGGTGACCAGCAGTTCATAGAAGCGCATGCGAGTTTCACCTGTGACAACCGGAGGTGGGGTGGGGGGCACGCTGCGGTGGGTTCCAGCATGGGCAGCCCCCAAGGGCTCCGCGGGCCCCAAACCCTAGGCCTGGGGAAGCAGTGTGACCTTTGGCCCAAGTTCCCGCCCCCGCTGGGACAAAGAAGCTGCAAAATTCATGCTGAGATTCAGAACTCAGGGCTTCATGGTGCTGGGGCTCCCCTAATCACCCTTCCAATCACCTGGGCCACCATACCCCAGAAAAGAACCCCCTCCCTGATTCTTTCACCTTCCCACTGAACATAGGACACAGGGTGACAAGGACAGGGGACTCCATAACCCAGAGGTGACAGTTGGTTAACTCCGCTGACCCAGGTGGCCAGCAGTTTGCACACAACACTAGTGGCGCACAACCATGAGTTCCACAGTGCATTCTGCCTGCTAAGGGCTCACGAGGGCCCCCACTCCACCAGGGGACCGCCTGGAGCCACACACCGGAGCCCAGGCCCCCTCGGAGCCCAGGCCCCCACCTCCACCCTAGGGGAAGGGGAGGTCTTTACCTCCGGGCCTACATTATCGATATTTATAGAGCCTGGGCAGCTGCTCACATATGCAAAAGAGACACATTCCTGGAGCAGAACTTTACACTTAGCTGGTCTCTTTCTCGAATACAAACTTAGGTGGCAGTCTCCCAAGGGCCTTTTTTTTTTTTTTTTTTTCAGAAATGACATAGTGATAAGAACCTGCTCCTCCTAAAGATGTGGGCAGGGGAGAGGAGAAGAGGGGAGTTTGGCCTTGGGAGAAAAATCAAACCAGAGTGAAGCAGGGCTAGGTGGATTTAAAACTCCCTGCTTCCCTCCCCCAGAGACCGAGGAACCAGGGAGACGGGTGGGGGGCTGAGGGTTGGACAGAAACCCTAGGCTTGGGCCCCAGCTCAGTGATTAGGACTGGCATCACCAGAGCCAGCCCGAACCAGAGTAGCCTGTCACAGCACCCAGCAGCCTTGAGAGATGGTCAAACATATTAATTATTAAAAGCAAAACAAAATAGAAGTGTAGCTTTCTCTCTCTAGGTTCTGGTGTGCTCAGGCGCCCTCAAACCCTGGGAGTTGTTACTAAAACCTGGCAGGGCGGGGTTCCCAGTGGGGACTTCTTTCAAACTGGGGGGCGCTGCTCCGGGAGGCCACAGGCAAATTTTGGGAGGACCTCTCCGGAGGGAGTCCTGCCAGTCCTCAGGCCAGGTACTGGGGGAGCCCTCGGCAGACCCAGAGGGTGGGTGGCTGTCCAGCAGGGCTCCCAGGGAAGGGGGAGGACAAGGAGTAGGGGAGGTGCCGCGGTCTCTTTAAGAGAGGAGGGAAGATGCGGAGTCAACCCTCCAGCACCCGGTGCGCCTGCCCCGCCCCCTCGGTGCTGGCCTGAACCTTATCAATGAAACCACCCTCCAGGCCCAGATTGGCTCAGGCAAATGGCTGGCATGCCCCCCCCCAACACACCCAGACCCTTCAAGGACTTCAGGGAATTTCTCTTATTTCAAGACAGCCTCAGCAGTTCTCCCTCCAACCCCCTCCAGCCCCCAAGAAATAAACACAACTCTGCCTCCTCCCTTAACAAGCAAAAACAAAACACTGGAGACCGCTAAAGCCCAGGGCTCCGCAGGGGTGCGGGCGGTGGGGGGCCTCTGGGCGGTCCCTAAGGTGCAGTGGCCAAGGACAGGCCCGTTTGGTAAATTATAGCCTGTCTCCTAGCAACAGACAACACGTTTAGCTCCATGTGGCTTACCCTCAGGAGGGGGCAAAAGACTAAATAAGATGAGTGTGGGGGAATCCCAGGGAAGGGCAAGGGGTTCTCCCAACCCACAGGGGAGCCCTGGGAGGAAAGGGGGGCACTGTGACAGGCGGCCTGGCCCGTCCTACCCCCCCAGGCCTCCGGGGCCAGCCTCCACTCACCCTTGGTGTCCAACTCCACGTGGATGGTGTTGCCCATGACAGAAGTGCTGTGCAAGTGCTGGACGGCCTCCTTGGCCCCCCGGACCGTGGCAAAGACCACCTTGGCGATGCCCAGGTGCTTCTTGGTCTTGGGGTTGTACAGAATTTCCACCTCCTCCACCTCCCCATACTTCTTGCACATGTCCCGCAGGAAGTTTTCCCGGATGTTGTCATTCAGCTTGGCAAATGTCACCTGCTTGGGAGGCACTGGGCCCACGTAGAACTCATCGATCTGGCAGGGGCCGCGGGGAAGGGAGGTTGGAAGGCATTGAAACCCAAGGGGAAAACACACGCATTCCACACTCGTTCGGCCATTAGAAACAATGAAGGGTAGAGGGAAAAAAAAACAACATTTGAGTGTTTGGGTGGTAAAAACGCAAGCAGGCGGGCCCGGGAAGCGGAGGATTAAATCGTTTGGAACGTGGAAGTCTTTGGGGTTCGGAAGGGGAGAAAAAGAAACAGTTTCTCCTTCCCTGACCCCCCCTCATTCCGGCCGCTGGCCCTGGCCGGGGACCAGGGGGGACTTCCCGGCCTGGGAGTGCCCCCCCAGCCGCGGGCCGGGGAGGGGGCGGGGCCGGGCCCGGGCCGGCGGTCGCAGGTGGGCGCCGCGGCCGGGCAGGCGGGCGGGCGCGACTCAGCGGCGGGGCCCCGATTTCGGGGTCTCCGGCGGCATTTTGTTTACAGCGGGCGAGGACGCCCCCTTTTCCCCTTCCCCGCCAAAAGTTGGCGGCCCTGGACGGCGGGAACTCCGACTCCGGCAGGACTGGCGTTATTTTCGAACTCGGGGGGGGGGGGGGGCGGGAGGGGGAGGGCGGGGGGGGGGCGGGGAGTCCTACCTTGAATTTGGGCACCGACAGCTCCAACTCCTTGTTTTTGGTCCAGATCCCAACGACCCGGGGATCCTCGACGATCTCCACCGGGCGGTTGCTGGACATCTGTGGAGAGGCATGGGGTGCGGGTTGGGGGGGGGCGCCGCCTCCCGAGGGGGGGACCCCTCCCCGGGTCCCCGCCTCTCGGCCCGGCCGGGCCCCCGGGTGACAGTTGGCCGGGGCGCCGGGCGGGGGGTCCCCGGCGCTCGCCCCGGGCCGGGCGCCCGGCGGGGGGCGGCGGGGGGCGCGGCGGGCCGCTCACCGCCAGGCTGAAGTGCTGCCCATCGTAGCGGTACAGCTTGTGGTGCCCCTTCTTGAGCGCCGGGTCAATCATCAACTTGTAACTTCTCCAATGGTGGTTCCTCCTCTCGCCCGAAGGGCCGGGCTGCGGCGGGGGCTGCTGGTGGTGGGGGGGGTGGCTGTTCTCCATGCCGTTAACCCAACCTGGAAGCCAGCGAGCTGTTGTCGGCCCCGCCGCGGCGGGCGCCGGGGACCGCGGGCGCCGGGGACGGCGGCCGCCCCCCTCCCTCTCCCGCCCCCCCTTACCAGGGCGCCCCGAAAGGAGCCGTCTCGCTGGCTCCCCCCAAAAAAATGAGAACGAAGCGAGAGAATAGCCCTTCCGGGAGAATTACGCGCCCGCCCGCTCGGCCACCGTCTCCGGGCGGCAGCGAGGGGCTCCCGGGGGCCCCGGGCGCGGGCTGGCTGGGCCCGGGGTGCCCGGAGGACGCGGGCTCCGGCCCATGGTGCCGCCCGGCCGCCCGGCGTGGCGCTCGCCGGCCCGCTCGGCCCGGCTCGGGCGCGGGGCTCGCGGCAGGCCTCGGCGCCGCCCGCCCGCCCGCCCGCCGGTCCGCCCGCCGGCCCGGGGCCGGGGCCGGGGCCGAGGGCTCGGGCCGCTCGGGAGTCGGCCGCGGCCTCTCCCTCCCGCCCCAGCCGCGCTTACATCCCCGCCGGGCGCCGGCCTCCCTGCGCCGCCAGCCAGTACATGGTGTTCCCCGCGGGAGCCGAGGCCGGGGCGGCCGGACGGGGGGCCGGGGAGGGGGGGGCGCCGCCGCCGGGGCTGCCGGGCCCGGAGCCGCCGCTGCTGCCGCCGCCGCCGCCGCTGCTGCCGCCGCTGCTGCTGCTGCTGCTGCCCGGGAGGCGGCTGGCGGCGGAGGCTCGGCTCCCAGTAGCCGCGCATCCCACAATACACCGCTAAGGAGCCCGACCCGAGCGCTCACCCTCCTCCTCTTCCTCCTCCTCCTCCTCCTCCTCCCCTCGCCTTCCTCGTCGCTTTCCCCGGCGGCGGCAGCTGCGCCTCCGAAGCCCCGGGCCCCGGCGGCCCCCACCCCTCGCTCGCGCGCTCCCACACTGCGCCCCCCTCCCCGGGGGAAGGCCTCTTAATTTATTTATTCTGCCGGGACGGGCTGGGGTGGGGGGCTCGGCTGGCGGGGGCGGGGGGCTCCCCGGGCTCTACCTCCCCGCGGCCGGCTGCCCTCGGAGGGAGCCCGGGCCGCCGCCGCGGCGTGCGCCTCGGGCCTTCCGAACTGTTTGCAAACTGCCAAGACCGGAGGTGGGCGCGTGGGGGCGCGGGGCGCGGGGAGGGGGCGCGGGCTCGGTTTTAGGGGGGCCGAGGGTGTGTTTGGAGACCGGGGCGGGGGGGGGGGGAGAGCAAGGCCGACGTCGACCCAAGGCGAGCTGCCATCGAGGCGTCTGGGCCCCGGCGCCCGCCCCAGCCCGGCGACCCCCTCCCCACCCCCAGCCCCGGGCGCCGAGCCGGGGCGGAGGAGCCAGGGTTTAACCACCGTCCGGGAGGAAGCGGCCGGGCCTGGGCTGGGAGAGACGAGCTCGTTGGCTTTATTATTTTCTTTCTTTCTTTTCTCTGTTTTTATTTTTGGAGGGGAGCGCCCCGTAATTGTCGTGAACACATGCTTCTCTCCTCGTTCTCACCGCCCCCCCTCCATCCAGCCAGCAGCAAGCAAGAGAGAGAGAGAGGAGAGTCCCCCCTCTTTTGCATGTGTCTTTTCCTTCCCCCTTTCTTTATTAAAGGTCCGGGAGTGGCGGCGGCCAATCGGCGCGCGGCTTCCATTTTGTGAGCTCAGCTCGGAGGCTCCGGGCTCCCGGGGGCGCGCTGGCAGCCCGGTCCGCCTCTCCGGGCCGGGCGGCCGAGGCGAAAAGAGCCGCCTCGGTGGGGCTTGGAGGTGGTGTGTTTCACGTTGGGGCTCTTTTCGGGGTTTGGAGTTTGGCCTTGGGTAGGTAATTGGCAGGGCGCGGCAGCCAATCAGAGCGCGGCTTCTATCGGGCTTGAGTTATTAGACGCTGATCTCAACCCATCCTTCATCAGACACCAAGGAGAGGCCAAGAGATGAGGGAAGCCATTTTTCTGCAATGGAATTAAATGGCCAAGTGGGTTTTTCCTTTGTTGCAAATGGGGAACGTTTTTCCTTTGACTCCACCATCCAGTTTCAGGACGCCTGAGTGTGTTGTTTAACATTTGTCAGCAGGCTTAAAGGACTCACAGTTGGAAGAATTGAAGAAGACCTTTTAAAAAGATCTGGATTTTTCCTTATGACTTGGAATCCATCTTTGTCTTGTATAACTAGGTCATAGCACACCATTCATGTCAGCAGTTAACAGTTTTGAATTCCAAAAAAAAAACCTAAGTAAACGACATATTTAATTTTTTTTTCCTCTTTTTTCTTGGGTGGTTCGGTGGGAAGCTTCGAGCTGTCTTTAAGTCTGTGTTCTCTTGATTGAACAATAAATTTTTAAGTATAGTTTCCTCTATTAAACACTTAAACCTGGCCATCTTATTAACTCCTCTCTTTTTAACAAGGTAATGTTTTAAATGTATAGTTTTAGGATTAAGTGAAATGACAGCAACAAAAAAAATTGTGAGCAGTTGTTACTCTTTAAATTGTTTTTCTTTCTTTAAAAAAAAACCTTTTTTTTATATTGTAAGTACCCAGTCCATTCTGTCCTTCTACAGTTTAGTTTTCATGTTAATGTTGGCTGAGATGTCCTTAATTTTCCGAACCTTCATCTGCATGTATGTTGTTTCGTTTCTCTTGTCTAATGCTAAGTCAGGTTGAAATGCTTTTTAGACGCTTTGCTTTTATAAAGCTAAGGTCTTCGCCTCGAGCTTTTGAGAATGCCTACTGCAGTAAATGCTAGTCAGCTTTCTTCCCAGTAATTTGTACATGTTCCTTGAAAATCGATCTATTTGAAGAAAAACATAGCTGTTTTTCTCCTCTTGCCTCGGGGGAGGGGAGGTGAAAGGAAGACCTTCTCTTTGTGTGGAAATACTAAAGCGGTCACAGGAAACTAGATTAGAAGTAGAAAACAAGTCCTAGCTGCTTGGAGCCAAACACCTACGATAGCTCGGTGCTGTTTTTCTATGGTGGTTTGGGGTGGCTGGTGAGCCTTTTTTGCCTTTGATTTGACTGTGTGTTTTCGCCTTTTGTCTCTTAATGACGGTCACACCATGGCCATCTAGAGCAGTAAACAGCCCTCCGCGAAGCCGCCTTTTTGCCAACCCACCTCTGGAAAGTTTGCGGACGTGGAAGGAGCAGAAAAATGCCCCGAAGTGTAACTTACAAAAAGGTAACATCAACAGCAAAGACAGACAGTGCCATAGCCCCAAATCTCCCCAGGTAAACAACCCCCCAAACTATTCTGATCACAAACATCTCCAAAAGTCACCGCCCAGCTTCATCCGCTGAGACTGCACGGCGCCGGGCTGAGCGGGTAAGTAAAAAAAGAAGAGGAAAAAAGAACAAAAAGCGCCGTGGCCCCTTCGAGGAAACGCTCTTCCCGCAGCCGAGGCCGGCTGGAGCCGAGGCCGAGGGCTCCTGGCGCGGTGCGCTCGGCTTCCGGAGCGGGAAGGGGGAGGCGGGGGCCGAGCGGGGCGCCCCGGGCCCCCGGAGAAAGGGGAGCGGGCGAGGGGCTCCTCGGGGCCGAGCCTCGGTGGGGACCGGGGGTCGGAGAGAGTCCTACGGCGAGGAAGCCTCCCCCGACCTTAGGGCTCGCTTTCCCGGTGGTTGTGCACGGTTTGCGCCCCGGAATCCTCTTTCGGGGCTCCAGGGTGCGCCTGCGCCAGCAGAGCGGAAAAAAGGACAAAAGGCCGGCGTCCATGTTGGCACCGTGACGCAGCGCCTCCACGCCCGGCCCGGCGCCCGCCGCTGCTCCCGCCCCAGCCCCGGTGGTTTCTTCCGGGATTCGGCCCGAGCCGCGGGCCGGCGGCCCGGTAGGGGCGGCGCTGGCTAATGGCGGCCGTCGCCCTCCCGTCCCCCTTCCCTCGCCGGTGTCGTCGGGGAGCCCGCGGGGCGCGGCCCTCGCCCCAGGGCGGGGGGGCCCTCGGGGGCGTCGCGCGCGGCCCCGAGGTGGCGGGGACCCCGAGGCCCAGGCGGGCACGCGGAGGCCCAGCCCTGACCCCAGGCCGCCCTCCGGGCCCGGGCCCCGCGCCCTTGGATAGGGGGGCGGGTCTCCCCTTTTGTCCCGCTGGGGCTCCGCGTCCCCGGGCGCCCCGCTTGGCCGCCCCGGGCACACCCTCCACCCCGGCTCGGCGGGCCGGGGGCGGGGCGGGGGCCTGGGAAAGCCGGGCCCCTCCCGGGGCGCCGGGTTCGGCGGCGCCTCCGGGGAGGGGTGCGGGCGGGGCCGGCCTTTGGAAGTGCAGATGGACGGCCTTCCACCGCTCGGCCCCCGGGCCCCCACCCCCGGCGTTCGGGGGCGGGAGGCGGGCGCGGGGCGGCCCCCGGGCCAGGGAGCCCCGCTCCGTTCGACTCGGGCCCCAGCGGGCTTCGACCTCCGGCCGCCTCACGGCTCGTTCTGCACTCTTTCCCTAGGTCCCCGGCCCGAGACGGGTGGACTCTGGGAAGCCCCGGGACGGACGGCTGGAGCCGACAGCCCTCGCAGCGAGGTAGGCGGGAGCCCGGCCCCGCCCGGGCCGGCCGCCGTCGGGGCGGGGGGCGGGATCCCCGAACCCGCCGGGCCGGTTCCGCGGCCCCTCCCCCGCCGCCCGGGGCCGCGGGCCGCCGCCCCGCCCGGCCGCGCTGATGTCAGGCATTGGGGGCGTGGAATCCTCGGCCGAATTTAGCAGCTTTACTAGAATTTCCCGGTCGCGTGCTGCGCGGCGGGGGCCGCCCCGCGCTGCCGGCCGCCGCCCCCGGTGGGCGTGGGTGACCGCGAGCCGCCCGGGGACACGCGGGCCGGGGCCGGCGCCGCCTCCCCGAAAACACAGGTGTCCTGGACTCCCCCGGCTTCCTCCTGCCTCCCAGTAACGAGCCGAGCTTCTAGAATCGAGGGAACCTGGTCTGAAGCCTGCGGGCCGCGGCTGGGCACCGGCTGCGGCCTGGCACGCGCCGCTTGGCTCTGGACTCGTGTCCTCGTCTCTGGACTCGTGTCCTCGTCTCCCGAAACAGTAATAGGAAAAGTGAGCGAGCGAGGGCCTGGGCCTGACCGTGGCCTCGGAACCGCTGGCAGCATGGTGGCCCGGTCCCCAGCCTCTGACGAGGACTCGGGCCTTCCCTCCTCAGCCCCAGCCGCCGCCGGGGCCGCGAGCCCCGGGCTGGGGAGCACCCGGGGGCTGCCCGGCTTGCCGTCCTCGCAGCCTGAGCGAGCTGCGTCCGCGGCTCGGGGCTCCTGGCATCCAGGAAGCAGCTGCACAGCTGGGGACGGTGGGACCCTTGATCTCTGCCCCCTGGCCGGTGTGCCCTCCAGTGTGCGGTTCCTTGAGCCATTTGGGCCCAGGGGCCTCCCCGGGCCGCACCCCGCCCCTCCTGTCCACTCCCACTGCTGAGCTGTGCGAGGCCCCAGACTTTGCTGGAAGCACCCGGCTGCTTATCTCTATGGGGCTTTAGCCTGGCAGCCAGGGGTCGGGAGGTGGCCGCTGCTGGCGACCTTGGGCCGGGTGCTCCCGGCGGCCGTGGGGGGTGGTAGGGGGCCGTCCGCGGCGCAGGCCCGGCCCGCTGGCCGCCTTTGTGACTGGGCGGGGCGGGTGGTGGCCGTGGTCTCCGGCCGCTCCTCTGCCAGCCCACCTCCTGGAGCACGTGGCCAGCTTCCAGCCGCGGGGAAGAAGTCTGGCTTCGCTTGGGAAGGCGGCCAGCTCGGCTCTTTCCTGCGGTGTGGCTTGCGTCGGGCATGTTGTAGACGGCCGCTCCTCCGTGGCAGGGTCACGGTGGGGGCTGCCCGCCCCGGCCCCGAGCGGCCGGCTCTCCAAGGTCAGGCGGCGCGGCCGAGCTGGGATGGGGCTCCAGGTGTCTTCCAGGCCCGAGCCTGGGCCCCGGCACCCCCTCGCCCCAGCTGTCTGGGCTATTTTGAGCGCCCTCCTGTGCCAGCTGCCTGCTGGCACCGCCGCCCAAGAGCGGCCTGGTTGGAAGGAAGCCGCCTGGCGCTCTGGGCTCCCGGTAAGCGCCAGCCGGGCACCGGGCACCTGGTCCCGGTGAGCTGGTTTTGGTTCAGCTCGTCCTCCCCGCCCCGGCGCGGAGCACTGACCCCCTCCCCTGCCAGGAGAGGGGGAGGGCCTGTGGGTTCTTCCCAGGGCTCGAGTCCTTGCGTGGGGGTCTTTGCCCCCTCCCGGCGGCCTCCCCTGCCCCAACCACTTGGGTGTCTGGGGAAGGGCGAGGAGCGCGTGTCCCAGACCCACTGACCCTGTGCCTCCCTCCCCCTGGGGCCCCAGCTGGGCTTTTATCACCTTTCTGTCCACTCCGCTTTCCCTGCCAGCGCCTGGAGGAGCTGGGCGGTCTCCCGCCTAGGTCCGGCCCGGAGGAGCTCCGCCCACCGCCCGCGGCCCGGGGCGGGGCTGCTCGCGGCCTGCTCGCTAGGGCCACGCCAGCGGAAGGGCTGGGAGGTGGCCGGACTGGGCTCCAGGGCCCGCCCCTTCCGGTCCCTTCCCTAGGAGCCCGGCGTGGACTGTGACCTTTTAGACCCTCCGGGAAGCCACGGGCCTAGAGGCCTAGAGAAGGCTCCCCAGCACCTCCGACACCTCCCCCCGGGGCTCCCTCCCGTGCGGTCCGGCAAATTCCTCTCAACTGGGAGGAGAAAGTTGAAGGATAACCTTTTGAGCTGTTTACAAGTTTTATTTTCAGTCATTGGGGCCGGGGGCAGCGTGCTTTGTTGCCAGGGCTGGTCTCAAATTCCACGATTCGTCCAGTCCCAGGGCCTTAGCCTCCTCTGTAGCTGGAATCCTGTCCCCTGAGCTCTCACCTCCCAGCCTCCCTTCCCTGGACCCACAGGACAGGCCTGTGGCCCCCGCCTTTTCTGGGCCCTTAGGGACTGGTCCTCTCATCTCTCACCATCAGTGCCTTCAACATCGGATGGCTCTGTAATTGCTGTCTGTGGTCTCAGAACCCAGGAAATAAGGGGCCCTAGCATGCCCACCAGCCCCTCTACCCGGTCCTGGGCTGATGGGACTTTTTCCTGAAAGACTGAAGTAGACCAGTCCCTGCTCCTCCGCTGTGCTTAGTTTCCCTGTTAGCCTCATAGTAGTATGGTCTTTTGTGTGACCAAAAATTGATTGCCCCCTGTACAGAGCACCTGGTAGGACCCAGGCAGCCTAGAAAATCAAACCATGCTGGGTGCTCATGGCTCACACCTGTGATCCTAGCTACTCAGGAGGCTGTGATCTGCAGATTGTAATTCAGAGCCAGCCCAGGAGGAAAGTCTCCAATAAAATACTTCAGGGCTGGGAAGGTAGCTCAGTGGTAGAGTGCTTGCCTTGCATGCATGAGGCCCTGGGTTCGATTCCTCAGCACCACATAAGCAGAAAAAAGCCAGAAGTGGTGCTGTGGCTCAAGTGGTAGAGCGTTAGCCTTGAGCTGAAGAGCTGAGGGATAGCTCCCAGGCCCAGAGTTCAGGCCCCACGACCGACAAAATAAAATACTTCAAAAAAGCTAGAAGTGGCACTGTGGCTCAAGTGGTAGAGTGCTAGCCTTGAGCACTGAGAGGCTCAAGGACAGAGCCCAGACCCTGAGTTTAAGCCCCCCCAGACCCTGAGTTCAAGCCCCAAGTTCACCCCAAAACAAACCATGTACCTAAAATTCCTCTGAGATCTGGAGAATTGAGATTAGAGGCCAGCTTGGGCAAAAAGTTTGTGAGACACACCCCCTCATCTCAAAAATAACCACAGCAAAGATGGCTAGAGGTGTGGATCAAGAAGTTGAGAGTACTTGCCGGGCGCCGGTGGCTTACACCTGTAATCCTAGCTACTCAGGAGGCTGAGATCTGAGGATCACAGTTCAAAGCCAGCCTGGGCAGGAAAGTCTATGAGACTCTTATCTCCAATAAACCACTAGAAAACCGGAAGTAGCGCTGTGGCTCAAGTGGTAGAGCACTCGCCTTGAGCTAAAGCGTGCAGGGACAGCGCCCAGGCCCCACGATCGACAAAAAAAAAAGTTGAGCTCCTACTGAGCAACTGCAAAATCTTGAGTTCAAGCCCCAGTAGTGCCACTAGAAAAAAAGGAAGAAAGACTTTCTTGCCCTCCTAAAACTCTAGGAATTCCTGGGAAACAGGACAGTGACCCAAGTCCTCAGAACATGTTGGAGGTGAGGAACAGGCCTTGGGACAGGGAGGCCCATCTCCAAGGCTTGCCCGGCCGGGCCGACCTCCTCCGAGGAAGCTCTGAGCCACTGCCTAGGCTCCTGAGTATTTTTAGCTACAGGCCCACCGTCACCACAGGCGCTGGGGCCAACTCAAACATGCTCCAGGCTGGTGGCGCTGGGGCTCTGCCGGGCTCTGCCAGCCTCTTGGTGAAGCAGGGGTGGGTGGGTGAGCAGGCTGCAGCCAGTGACAGCTGCTCTGCCTAGGCCCAGCAGGGCTGGTGAGACTCACTTTGTTCATTTCCCGACTCAGCTTTGAGCAGGCCTGCTCTGAGCCCACAGCACAGCTCCAGCTCTCCAAGGGAGAAAGTGGGGCTGACTCTGTCTGGATCCAAGGCCCAGCCTGACGGGAGAAGCAGTTTGGGGGTGCTACAAAGGTGCGTGATCTTCCTCTCACTCCAAAGCCCCCAAAATGCCCTCTTTTTTGTGGAACTATCAGCCCACTCTGTTTTGGAGTTCTAGAGAACCTTGGTCTGACAACTTAACCCAAGAGATAGCTCGAGCTCTGCTTCCCACCCCCCCACCCCCAAGTCATGGCTCCTTCCTGGCCATGCTGAGGGCTCAGAGTTTGGCTGTGGCGGGACTCCTTTACTGACCCCTTCTCCCTGCAGCCTGGCAGCCAGGCTTAAACCCAGTTACTTTGGCAACCTCAGTCCTCCGTCCGTGCCAAACCCAAGGGAGGGTTTTCTAGCTGCAGTACATTTGCCCAAGCTAGGCAACCACCTGCCTCCAGCATCCACCCTCCAATACATCCCAGCTCGGTACCAGGCCAGCTGCCCCTCTGCCCTTGACAGTGGCCTCGAATCTGATCTCACCTCCTAAACTTCAAAAAAACACAATTGCCTGTCAATAAACATGTTGCAAGCAAAGGAATGGCTGCGTTGCTGTAACTGTGTCTGGTGTGTGGGACGGGGCAGGGCGGGGCCCTGAAGGTGGGTGAGGATGGCCACCCGGAGAAGAGAGTGCCCGCCCAACAACCTGGTCCCCCTGCTCCCCTGCCTGTCTTCGGGTCACCGCAGTCCTTGCTGCCCTCTGGTGGCCAGACCTTGCCTTGCACCTGCCGAGACCGACCTGGCGTTTAAGGAAGCTGGGAGGTTGGCAATTTCCTCCCCAAAGTGAGGTTTACTTCACCCTTGCCGAGAGCTGAAGAACTGGGAGTCTTCAGTCTTCAGACTGGACCTGGCGGCCGGTCCCCACCCCAGCGCTGCTGCTAACAGGGTTCCATCCGCTATGAGCTTTACCCGCCCCCCCCCCCCACGCGCAGCCGCGAGCATCCGCGCCGCTGCGGGCACTGGCCTGGTGGGGCGGGCCTCCTGCCAACCGTCCTGGAGTGCGCTCTCCCCCGCAGAGGCTGATCAGGATGCGGTGCGCGACGCTGCTTGGTGAGGAAACGGCAGCCACTGGTGCCCAGTGCCTCCGAAGTGCGCGGAAAGAGCCCAGCTGAGATCGACTAGGCCTCGCACACAGGCACACGGCCTTTCACATGCACTCACACGCTGGGCCACACATAGTGCCTGCGCATACACACGCGCCTCCCCAACACACACACATACGCGCACGCGCGCCCCCTCCTGGAAGGAGACACCGCTCACCTGTGCAGCGCGACGCCGTCACCGGCAGAGGGCGCCGCGCGCCCACCTGCGGCGGGGGAGGGGAGTAGGCGGAGCCCCGCGGCCTCCCACCCGGGCCCGCGCGCGCTCAGGATCACACCGCGTGGGCAGCATGGCTGCTGTGCCAGCCGCTACCCGGGGCCACCACAGCCACGTCCGCCCCACACGGAGGCACGCCAGGCCGCACAGCTGATGGGCCAAGCCGGCGCCTCGAACCCGAGTGCTGGGGCGCAGCCCGCCAATCAGGGAGCCCCAGTCCAAGGTGGGCTGCCAGGCTGACCAATCACAGGGCTCCCGCCAGGCGGTGGCGCTGCCAATCAGGGGCTCCCGGGATGCCGCGGCGGAAACCACCCGTTCTGACATTGGGGGGCCGCGTGACGCGCGAGGGGCGTGGGGGGCACTGCGCTGGAGGCCGAGCACCCCGACTCCCAGCTGCCGCCGTTTCCTTGATACGGAGAGGCGAACGGGGCCCAGCGGAGAGGGGTTGAGGCCGGGGGGCTGCCTGGCGGAGGCGGCTCCGGCCCGGGGGCGGGGCTGGGGCGGGGCTTCCGCGGCCTCTGGCCCCGCCCCGCGGCCCCGCCCCCGGCGCTGCTGCGCGGGGCTCTCGGCGGCCGCCGGCGCTGCGCGCTCGGGGCCATGGACGCCGCGGGGGTCCCGGCCGCGGCCCCCGACCCGGGGAGGAAGGAGCTGAAGATCGTGATCGTGGGTGACGGCGGCTGCGGCAAGACGTCGCTGCTCATGGTGTACAGCCAGGGCTCCTTCCCCGAGGTGAGGCGGGAGGCGCCCCGCGGGGTCGTCCGGGACCACCGGGGCGGGGGGCGGGACGGGGACCCCGCGCCGAGCCCGGGCCCGGGGTCCCCGGCGGGCCGCGCGCAGAGGCGGCCGCCGCCGCCCTGGGCTCCCCCTCGAGCCCCGCGGAGCCGGGGTGCGGGGTCCAGGGGGACCCCGGGCTGAGCCTCCCCCTCCTCCCGCAGAACTACGCCCCGTCGGTGTTTGAGAAGTACACGGCCAGCGTGGCCGTGGGGGCCAAGGAGGTGACCCTGAACCTCTACGACACCGCGGGTGAGTGCGGGGCGCCCCGGGGCGCCGCGCCGCGGGGCCCCTCTACGTGCGGGGACTGGGGTGCGTTGGGGCCCCGCCGCGCTCGCGTGGCTCCCGGGATGGCGGGGCCGGCGCCGTGGGGTTCCGGGCCCGGGGTTGCGCGGCGGGGCTCCGGGCCCCGGCGGGGGAGCGGCGGCCGTGCCTCGGCTGCCTTCTTAGGCCGGCCCGGCCTTCTTGGCTTCCGGGGACGAGGATGGGCAACTTCAGAGAAATGGAGCCGGGGCGGGGGGCAGGGGAGACGGGGCTCCCGCCGGCCGGGCGGCCTGCGGGGGACCCCCAGCTCGGACTGGGCGCCATCCATGGAGGGGCAAAGCTTGGGATGACCAGGAAGAGCCGCCACCCGGCTCCGTGACTCAGAGTTCAGTGCCAGGTGGAGCTCAGAGTTCAGTGCCAGGTGGAGCCGAGTCACCGGGGCCGGGGGGGGGGGGGGGATCCCCGGGGGGAGGGGGATCCCGGGGGCAGGGGATCCCCCCTCCCCCCAGCCCCTCCTCGCTGGGAGATGAAGTGTCCCACCAACCGTCGGTGGAACCCAAATCCAGACATCCCGTCCCCAGCCCTGCCTCCTCCCGGGCCGTGGGCTGCCCATCCCCGCCGGCCTCTGAGGACCCCCGGCCCCCGGGAGCTGGCTTGGGGTGCGGCCAACAGGACGGTGAACATCGGGGCATTTGTACTCAGGTCTCTTGCCCGGCAGCCAGGGAGGGGCAGGACGGTGGCCCCCTCTTCCTCCTCCTCCCCCCCAGCCTCTCCCCCCAGCACCCAGGCTTCCCTGGTCAGTGGGCCCAGCGCAGAGCCCTGTCCAGCTCCCCTGGCCCCATCCACAGGAAGATGTTCTCTGTCTGAGCCACTTCGTTGCCTGAGCAGTTGAGCTGCGTGGCAGGGTGGTGTGTGGAAGGAGCTGGCGCTGGCAGATCACCAGCATCTTCCCACCACCTGCGTTTTCTGCTTGTGGATCCTGGGACTGGAACTCAGGGCCTTGGCACTGACTCTTAGCTTTTGTGTTTAAGGCTGGCGCTCTACCATTTGAGACACAGCCCCACTTGGGGTTTTTTAGTGATGAATTGGGAGTTTAGAGACTCAGGGACTTGTCCTGCTCAGGCTGGCTTTGAACTGCGATCCTCAGATCTCAGCCTCCTGAGTAGCTAGGACGACAGGCGTGAGCCCCAGCGCCTCACTTTACCACCTGGTTTAGAGTCACAGCAGGGCTTTGATACTGGTCACACTGGCTGTGTATCCTTGGGGCTTTCTGGTCCCCAGTTTCCTTTCCTCATGTCATCTGGGCTTAGAGAGTCGAGGATTAAATCTGGTAAGTGAGCGCGGTAGCAGCGTGGTGCGTTGACATTTATTGTCTTGGTGACTGTTGGAACCCAGGCACCTTAGTGTGCCAGATGAACATTCATTCTTTGAGTTCTACCAGCCCTCGTTAGGATGTAAAAATAAAACAAAAACTAAAAACTAAAAAATAAAACAAAAGCAACCCTCCCTCTGGGGCCCAGCGGGCTGCCTGGGGGTTCAGGACTGCCCGGAGCTCCTGCTATAGCATGTGCAGCCATGTTTTGTGTTCTGACCAGCAGAAAAGCAGTGCTGGGTTTGAGCCCTTAGTGAGTTCAGGGGGAACCCAGCTGGCCTCTTGGTCAGCAGGCTGGCCCAAGGAACAAGAGGCAGGGAAAACAGCTAGCTGACCCCTGTGGCCAGGGAAGCCCTGCGGTGGAATGTGGTGGAGATGGGGTCACCGTGGGGCGGCTGGGATGAATGCACCGCACCATGGGTCACAGGCTGGGGCGGGGGGGTCGCGCAGGGGAGTGAGGGTGAGGACAATGGCAGAGCTAGAGATGAACCTAGTAAACGTTGTAGAAGGTTCTAGAAACTGACAGGCTAACCTGTGGAGAAAGGAGCATCTTCCCAATCAGCAGTGATCAGTGCTGTGGGACAGGGGTTGCTCCAAGATGCTAGATTGCTCCTCCTTGGGTGCTCACACCTTGGCCACGAGGCTGTGAGCAAAAAGCTGGTGCGGCTTCTCACCATCCTGCGGAAACGGTGATGGATACCGCCAGAGCTGGGCAGTGCTCCACGCTCAGCGCTCCCAGGGCGAAGGAGCGCGGGGCCCAGGCACCCGTTGCTGTGGCCTCCCGGCCCCCCACATCCTCAGACACAGGAAGCTGTGGTGGGGCCCAGAGGTTCCTGGGTAGAAGGCTGGGGGCTGGGACAATGAGACTCGAGGTCAGGGGGGACCACAGGAAAGGGGACCCGGGTTGCTAAGACAAGGGATGTTGTGGGGGGGCGTGCCCGCAGCTCCAGGCCTGGGTGGGGGCAGGGAGGGGACCCCAGCACAGCTAGTAAAAGTGGGTTCTCCTGTTGGCTTCCTCCTCTCATGCCCCCGCCGGCCTTGGGAGCCCTGACGGGCTGAGCCCCGCCCCTGTGCCCGCCCCATGGGCTCTGCCGACCCCCTGTGACCCTGGTCAGGTGACCTGGCCCACAGGGGTGCGTGCGTGCATGGGGAGGGCTACAGCGCCACCTGTGCCCTTGGGTTTGGGAGACTGAAGCTGATGGAGCTGGAGTCCTGGGTTCGAGCCCCACCCCGGCTTTGCGCTTCCCTAGCAATCTTTTATTTCAGTAGCATCCACGGCGCCCCATCGCAGAGGGGGCAGGGTCACCCCCGGACACCCCAAGGCCCCCGGCAGCGGCCTGAGCAGGGGCAGAGAGCACGTCCAGCGCCCCCAGGAGCAGGGCCCGCGGCACCACGCAAGTTCAGGCCCACGCCAGGTGTCAGGAGAGGGGACCTGGGTGGTGTCAAGCCAGGAAAGCAACCTGGAGGAGGAAGCGAGGCTGGGGCTGGCTGCCCAGCCCCTCCCGGAGGCCCTGGTTCTTCTGATCGCTGTGTTTGTAGCCATCTTTTTTCATGCGTCTGCGCTGGGGTCAGGATTCCCTAGCTGGGCTGGCTGCCCCCCCCCCCCCAGCTGTGTGACCCCAGGTAACCCGCCTAGCCCCTCTGTGCTTGGGTTTCTCCATCTCAAAAACGGGGTCCCAGTAGTGGCTGCCCTGGCCAGGGGACGCCTTGGCGGGGCGTCTCTGGCATTGTCATCACCAGATGAGGAAACTGAGGCCTGGCTTAGTTCCTAGCAAGGAAGCCGGGCTTCCACCGGGCCCTGCAGGCAGCCGACCTCAGCACCGCCAACG